TATAAAACAACTGCAAACAACTTCCTCTACAGAAATCTCTATCCAGTCAGCTGACGATGTGTAAGATGAATTATGTCAGTTGCTGTCTATCACTTACTGTAAAAGTGGAAATACTTCTGTGTGGAAATTTTTGTGTTGTGACTCTTTAAACTCCTGTGGTGTGGACATGTTCCCATCGGCAATGATTCCTGATTCCATACATTCTATATATGTATCTATTACATTTACAATCATAAATATCGGTGTGTGGATAATTTTGTGCTAATTATTCAAAGCGAAGAAAATAAAAAATTATTTCCACATGGCAACAAAAAAAACTTTTACATTAGAAAAACGTATTAGTTTGGGGAAACAAAATGAAAACATCTTTTCACTCTGACCCCTACCAACATTTTGCAATTGGATTATCTTCATGACAAATAGTTCCTCTGTACACTACATCAGTGTTTGATAATTAAAATGCTAGAAGTTACTGAGACAATTGCTGTCTAAAATAGTTTGTCACACATGAACAATATGATGACATCACAAATTCATGCAAAAGGAAACCTTATAAGGTTTTCGTTTTAATTTTTGGTCTAAATACTCCAAAAAGGTGTACTTAGACAAGCATTAGTTGAGCATTAGATAACAAGAGGCCCAAGGGCCTTAGCGGTCACCTGAGTTATATCATAGGTACTGGTAGCTTTATCTTATTGTTTAGATGTGATGTGGAAATCTGCATGTAAACTAAGTGAAATACAATACTTGTCATGTCATCAAAGGATAAGAAATTGAAAATATTGGTAAATGTTCCCTTTGGGGCCCCGCCGTAGCTAGCCCCTGGGGATGGGGCAGGAATCCCAATTTTCCAAAGTAATACTCTCATTCACCAAAGATGATTCTGACTAAGTTTAAGTAATTTTCTGCTGAAAATGGATAAAATATATACCCAAAAGTGTTATTTCCCTATATAAACTATAGTAAACTTTACCCCCTCCCCAACAGGAGAACGGATAGCTCGGGGGTCCTGTAGTAATTATTGATATTGGTTCATTTTCCCTTTTGGGCCCTGCCCTGGCCCCTAGGGTTGGGGTAGGAATCCCAATTTTACAATTTAAAACCATCTTCCTCCTCCAAGGATAATTCTCACCAAGTAAAAATAATTTCCAACAGAAAATTGTCAAAATATACCCAAAAGTGTTGTTTCCCTATATAAACTATAGTAAACTTTACCCCCTCCCCAAGGGAGAACGGATAGCTCGGGGGTCCTGAAATTTACAATTTAAATAAAGCCCCTGATGATCTTTCCATCCATGCAGAGAAAATGACTGTAATACCTCTGAGTCTGGAGAAGAAGATTTTTGAAATATTGGTTAATTTTCCCTTTTGGGCCCCGCCCTGGCCCCTAGGGTTGGGGTAGGAATCCCAATTTTACAATTTAAAACCATCTTCCTCCTCCAAGGATGATTCTGACCAAGTAAGAATAATTTCCAACAGAAAATTGTCAAAATATACCCAAAAGTGTTGTTTCCCTATATAAACTATAGTAAACTTTACCCCTCCCCAAGGGAGAATGGATAGCTCGGGGGTCCTGAAATTTACAATTTAAATAAAGCCCCTGATGATCTTTCCATCCATGCTGAGAAAATGACTGTAATACCTCTGAATCTGGTTCATTTTCCCTTTTGGGCCCCACCCTAGCCCCTAGGGTTGGGGTAGGAATCCCAATTTTACAATTTGGTAGCCTCATCTACCAAGGATGGTTCTGACCAAGTTTGAAAAAATTTCATCCACTGGTTCTTGAGAAGAAGTTGATAATGTAAAAGTTTACGCACGACGCACGACGCACGACGCACGACAGACGGACGGAAAGTGATTGGAATAGGTCACTTGAGCATTTCCATTTGATCTATCTTCATGAAATTATCTCAAGTTTATTTCATAAATATTTATGCATAGGGAACTTGTTTTAGAGCCTATATATATATGCTAATCTTATATTTACATACAGTATTGCAAAAAAAAGATAAATGACTATACAGATTATTGACTCTGTGATGTAGTAATTTATTGAGTTAATTATAAATTAATATATACCTTAATTGTAACATGATTTTGTTTTTAAATAAACATTTAATTTAATTTAAAGAAAATAACTGCAATTGACAATTCAAGTTTTTCAGTTAAGGTAGAGTCACAGCACAAACTTTTAGTTAAGGTAGTCTCAGTCACAGCACATTCTGTTTTGTATCATCAACAAAACAAAAGAGTTCCGATTTGCTAGGCAATTTTCAGACTTTGGAGTTTCTTACTCATTTACAGCAACAGAGTTGTATACAACACAAAGAAACATATATTTATTATATATTGTTTTTCTTTTTCTTTTTTATAAATACATCTTCACTACCGGTATTCAAACCCAAGACCTCCTGATTATGTAGCAAGGAGCTTATCCATTACGCTACCTGTCATGATATTTGATATGTTAATACCTTACAGCAACATTATTTTAATAATGAATAATTTCAAAATGTTCAAACCCTCTAAAAAGGTACACAATCTATAATCATAATTGAATTATCATAGAGGCAATATACCCTAACTCTAACAGGAAAGTAAGTAAATTAACATTCTGATACAGATATAAAAGAGAGAAGTGACCAGACTTACTACCTTAGTATACCCCTGTAGTGTTGTAATAAGGCCAGGGGCCTAGTCCATAGAGATGGTGTAACTAGTGAGTAATATTGCTGTGTAACTTCTGACACTGTTGATTCTGTCAGGTGCAGCTGGTTTACAGAGTTACCTCCCCTAAGATCAACTTCGGAAGAGGTGTTAATTACCACGAAAAATCTCAAAATATGTAACACTGCTTTTTATGTTTTAGATAAAAACAGTATGAGATATATCTATATAATCATATATATTAGTTTTATATCCTTGTTACATATAGCTTATGCAAAACTTGAAAGTCATCTTAGTGTCACACAAATAGTTCAACAGCAGCTTAATACAAATTGGTTTCAATGCAAAGGAGTTTCACGGTACCATTGTAGTTTTATGCTAAAACTGATACTGTCATATTGGAAAAGTCAAATAATGTCTTTATTACTGACAAAGCACCTTCAAATTAAATTCAATCATGAGGGGTATCTTAATGCATTCTCAGTTGAGATGCATCTGAAATCAAGCGGTCTATCAATATATTGATATGAACATGAGGATTCCATTCCAATTCACACATACAATTTTACCTAACATTCCAATAAAAGTATTTAGATTTATACAGATTACATGTATTTCTAATTAGAGCCTTATGATCAGTGCAATTGTATCAGTAGCGGTGTTGAGTTACAGAACGTTATACTGTAATATTTATATCTATATCATATACAAGAATTCCACGGGAGTGGATGTGTCACCTGCTCAGTGCTTTGAGTAAGAAAAGTGTTTTGGCTTGAGTTATCACGTAAACAAATATGCCAAAACCCTGAAAGTTGAAAACCTGTAATATATAGCATTACTGTACAAAATTTGAAAGGAATTGATTAGAAAATAAAAAAGGTTCTTGCATTTACTACATAATGCCCTTATTTGGCAACAAGCAAGAGCAGCATCGCCTCATTGGTATCCATAAAAGAATTCTTGAAAATGCAAGTATGCTTAGCACTGCATGAAGTTTGAGTTTGATCGGCCCAAGGAAACTCAAGTTATTGCACGAAAACAGACTTTCTATTTATAGTAACAGTAACCTTGACCTTTGACCTACGGACATGAAAAGCAATCCCAAGCAAGCACTTTTGGTAAGGAAGCACTGCATGAAGTTTGAGTTTGATCAGCCCAAAGAAACTCAAGTTATCGCACAAAAACCTCTGTGTGGACGACGACGACGCCAACGTTGCCGACACCGACGCCGACATAGCAATACCTATGTGTCACCAGCTTTTCGCAGGCAACACAAAAATGTGCTTTGAATAAATAAAAAATTATAAAAAAACAACAACAAAAAAACATTCAAATTTGTATTTTGATATTCTCCTGGTTGAATATAAAATGGGATGTGAAATACATAGTCTTATAGTTAAATATAAATTACAATGGAAACATAAAATACTATAAGAGCTTAGTAAGACAACCATGTGAATTTTGTTTCTGAAAAAAATAGCTTTCTTGCTGACCTTTATTGTAAATTAAATGAAAAGAAAATACAAATGTATTAATACTGTCATGTTGTTTAACAAAATACTCTGATACACCTAGGCCTGTTTGTTAATGCAGAACAACTGGTTCAATGTTTTGAACAAAATCCTTGGGGACCTGCAAAAGTTTATGCAGGCCTTGCAAGGTCAGATTAGTGGGTCCGACCTTATTGCATAAACAAACAACAGTTCAAATGCTTGGATTGCGAAAAATGAAAACGGCCCCAGACACAGTTTGTTCAGCATTTATCAGCTAAAGGGAGATAATCAAGTAAATCTTTACTCAAGACTTATTATATTTTTTTAACATTAGGAGATGATTAGTTATGTATGAGGACTATATCAACATTATAATCATATTAGTAAGTAACCCTACCCAGTAAGTAATCTGACATCACAACTCTAACTAGATTATTAGTGTAACTTACAAGGGGCTACAAACTCACAACCACAGCCAAATGACAGGAATTTGCCTTAATGGGGGGCATGTCTCTGATTTCTAGCCACTTCAACCTACTGTACACATGTATGTTACCACTAGTGAAAACATATAGCTTTATGGCAGGTTCCAAATAGGTAACATTTAGCTCACTTCTCTTAATTAATGATAAAAATAATTCTAAGTTCTAATATACCGCTTTATTCCAACCTAGTTTGTAGGTTGTCTCAAAGCCATTCACAAAATATAATCTGTGGTTATAGGGCCTTTGCAACCAGCCAATATCATTCTCAACTCCCTGGGGAGCATAAAGCTGGTGCTGCCATTTTGGCGCTCACAGCTAGCATTCAACAATTCTAGCACTGCCCAACCACATACTCATTTACAGCTGAGTAGACTAGAACAGTCTGGGTAAAATATCTTGTTCAAGGATACAACACAGTGCTGTGACGAGACTTGAACCCACAAACTTTCGGTCACGAGCCCAGCGTTCTACCACTAGACTACCATGCCTCCGTATAATAATAACATGATCAAACATGCCTGTTACATGAAAACTGAAATATTTGTGATAAATATTAATACATTGTTCTTTAAGTTAACAATCACACAACCAAACCTACCTATCACATTGCTGGTCATGGTTCCTATCAGCCTTTACATTGTATCATTGTCAGATCACAGACAGACATGGCTAAGCTAGTAGAATGTATTTAGCCTAATACATGTATACAATGTATCATTGTCAGATCACAGACAGACATGGCTAAGCTAGTAGAATGTATTTAGCCTTATACATGTATACAATGTATCATTGTCAGATCACAGACAGACATGGCTAAGCTAGTAGAATGTATTTAGCCTAATACATGTATACAATGTATCATTGTCAGATCACAGACAGACATGGCTAAGCTAGTAGAATGTATTTAGCCTTATACATGTATACAATGTATCATTGTCAGATCACAGACAGACATGGCTAAGCTAGTAGAATGTATTTAGCCTTATACATGTATACAATGTATCATTGTCAGATCACAGACAGACATGGCTAAGCTAGTAGAATGTATTTAGCCTTATACATGTATACAATGTATCATTGTCAGATCACAGACAGACATGGCTAAGCTAGTAGAATGTATTTAGCCTTATACATGTATACAATGTATCATTGTCAGATCACAGACAGACATGGCTAAGCTAGTAGAATGTATTTAGCCTTATACATGTATACAATGTATCATTGTCAGATCACAGACAGACATGGCTAAGCTAGTAGAATGTATTTAGCCTTATACATGTATACAATGTATCATTGTCAGATCACAGACAGACATGGCTAAGCTAGTAGAATGTATTTAGCCTTATACATGTATACAATGTATCATTGTCAGATCACAGACAGACATGGCTAAGCTAGTAGAATGTATTTAGCCTTATACATGTATACAATGTATCATTGTCAGATCACAGACAGACATGGCTAAGCTAGTAGAATGTATTTAGCCTTATACATGTATACAATGTATCATTGTCAGATCACAGACAGACATGGCTAAGCTAGTAGAATGTATTTAGCCTTATACATGTATACAATGTATCATTGTCAGATCACAGACAGACATGGCTAAGCTAGTAGAATGTATTTAGCCTTATACATGTATACAATGTATCATTGTCAGATCACAGACAGACATGGCTAAGCTAGTAGAATGTATTTAGCCTTATACATGTATACAATGTATCATTGTCAGATCACAGACAGACATGGCTAAGCTAGTAGAATGTATTTAGCCTTATACATGTATACAATGTATCATTGTCAGATCACAGACAGACATGGCTAAGCTAGTAGAATGTATTTAGCCTTATACATGTATACAATGTATCATTGTCAGATCACAGACAGACATGGCTAAGCTAGTAGAATGTATTTAGCCTAATACATGTATACAATGTATCATTGTCAGATCACAGACAGACATGGCTAAGCTAGTAGAATGTATTTAGCCTAATACATGTATACAATGTATCATTGTCAGATCACAGACAGACATGGCTAAGCTAGTAGAATGTATTTAGCCTAATACATGTATACAATGTATCATTGTCAGATCACAGACAGACATGGCTAAGCTAGTAGAATGTATTTAGCCTAATACATGTATACAATGTATCATTGTCAGATCACAGACAGACATGGCTAAGCTAGTAGAATGTATTTAGCCTAATACATGTATACAATGTATCATTGTCAGATCACAGACAGACATGGCTAAGCTAGTAGAATGTATTTAGCCTAATACATGTATACAATGTATCATTGTCAGATCACAGACAGACATGGCTAAGCTAGTAGAATGTATTTAGCCTAATACATGTATACAATGTATCATTGTCAGATCACAGACAGACATGGCTAAGCTAGTAGAATGTATTTAGCCTAATACATGTATACAATGTATCATTGTCAGATCACAGACAGACATGGCTAAGCTAGTAGAATGTATTTAGCCTAATACATGTATACAATGTATCATTGTCAGATCACAGACAGACATGGCTAAGCTAGTAGAATGTATTTAGCCTAATACATGTATACAATGTATCATTGTCAGATCACAGACAGACATGGCTAAGCTAGTAGAATGTATTTAGCCTAATACATGTATACAATGTATCATTGTCAGATCACAGACAGACATGGCTAAGCTAGTAGAATGTATTTAGCCTAATACATGTATACAATGTATCATTGTCAGATCACAGACAGACATGGCTAAGCTAGTAGAATGTATTTAGCCTAATACATGTATACAATGTATCATTGTCAGATCACAGACAGACATGGCTAAGCTAGTAGAATGTATTTAGCCTAATACATGTATACAATGTATCATTGTCAGATTACAGACAGACATGGCTAAGCTAGTAGAATGTATTTAGCCTTATACATGTATACAATGTATCATTGTCAGATCACAGACAGACATGGATCATCACAGCAACGTTCCTGTTCAATACATTAAGTATTTAGTCACACTATCCTGTATATCAGTGATGACAAACACAACTCCTCAGAGGATCATCATTACGCAAGTCCTGTCCAAAAAGCCAGGCATTTAGCTACATATTCTGGTCACAACAGTAACTCATGTTTAGTCAAAACGTACTGTATGATAACGAATTTTCAAACAGATATGTTAAACCTGACATGGTTCCAGCCATCATACACATCTTCTCGTCCTGAGAGGAGTCAGCGTTTTGTCACATCGTCCTGGATATTGGCAACAACACAACCAAATGTACTCATGACAGTGGGAAGCTCTTGTCCTTCCACCCACATCTGCTTGTCCTGGTCCTCCTTCAGCCAGCACAGGCCAGCCATCCAACTCTTGTCATCCTCCCCACCCACAATCAGAATAGTATTGCCGTACTTCACAATACCTGAAAATAGAACAAAAGCACAACGAATGTTATATCAAAACTTTTTCTTTCCCTTCCATTATTTAACAAATAACTTAACAATTTATGAATATGACAGATACATTCTGAGCATTTAACACTTGAAATGTTTTGAACTCTCTATTATTAGCTTTAGTTGAGTTTAAACATAATATGTTGAGTTGACAACTTTTGAAATGTAAGGGAAAATATTCTTTAGCATCCAAAAAGGCTCAATGCAAAGAATTAACTGCAGACCTGACATTGTTCAATAATAAAATCTGTAATTATAACTTATTAAGATGGTACAACATAAACTTCAAAACCAACATCTTAAGAAAACATACAGATAGAAAGAGACCATATTATTTATAACTTTTAATTTTACAACATGTCATGTTCTATTTTAAAGTTTAAGAACACAAACAATTAAATTTGAGGTTTAATAAAAAAAAAAAATCAAACTATGTGCATATTTAGCAGATGTTCATTTTGATTGAAAATTTAATAAGTTCAAAATAAGAGTGACTACCTCACCTACATCTCCCACCTGACTACAAACCTTTAATCTGTAATTAACTGCTTGTATTAACAACTTATCTGCCCCACACCTAACTGTACAATATTACCTGTTGTTACCTGAGGTCATTAACAACTTACCTGCCCTACACCTCACTGTACCATATTACTTGTTGTTACCTGAGGTCTTTAACAACTTACCTGCCCCACACCTAACTGTACAATATTACCTGTTGTTACCCGAGGTCATTAACGACTTACATGCCCTACTCCTAACTGTACAATATTACCTGTTGTTCCCTGAGGTCATTAACAACTTACCTGCCCCACTCCTAACTGTACAATATTACCTGTTGTTCCCTGAGGTCATTAACAACTTACCTGCCCCACACCTAACTGTACAATATTACCTGTTGTTACCTGAGATCATTAACAACTTACATGCCCTACACCTAACTGTCCAATATTACCTGTTGTTACCTGAGGTCATTAACAACTTACATGTCCTACACTANTAATATTATTGTAGGATTGTACTGTAAGATGGATGCAACAGTGCCTGCTATACCATAGTGTGAACGCACGGTATGTGTGAATGTAATGCTATGTATTATACCATCGTAATAGTATTGTAAAATGAGTGTAATAATGTATATCACAGTGTATGATGAGTGTCATTGTATGATCAGTGCGTTATACTGTCTATTATAATAAGGTATGATAGTACAGTGTAATATTGTGTTTATCATTGTATGAGGAGTGTAATAGTTTCCACTATATTATTGTACGCTAGCATAGTAAGATGATTGCTTTACGGTCAACCATATCATTGTTATATTGTACTTTATGATGACCTCTTGTTGCGCACAATAGTGTGCCTGAGTGATAATAAAAATCTCTAAAAATTTCTACACCTTACTGTACAATATTACCTGTTGTTACCTGAGGTCATTAACAACTTACATGCCCTATACCTTACTGTACCATATTACTTGTAGTTACCTGAAGTCATTAACAACTTACCTGCCCCACACATGGCATTGGGAAGTTCGGGCCCGAGAGACCAGGTGTTGTTTTCCGGGTCAAACACCTCCACAGAACTCACACAGTGCTCTGGTAAAAACTCCTTCTTCCATTTATCACTGAGTGCTGAGTTACCCCCTACAGGACAAAGAAAAGTCATATATATATCATAATCAAATAATATAAGCATCTAGTTTAGACACAAAACAAAATTTGATGCCATTAGTCCATCATGACAAACCTTGTATAAGTACAAAGTTACCATTCTTAGCATATATATTTAGCTACAACTTAGAGTGGAAAGACTTCTGGATGAAAATGTCCTTAACTGATTAAAGTCATAATTCCTGAAATTTTAATTAAATGCAATATTTCCCACTTTATATGATTCAATCAAGCTTTACATAGACCTTAATAACAATGTCCTCTGAATGTGCGATAGCATCTTTTCTACGATGAAATCTACAAATACTTGATGACTGAATGTTAATCCAACCAACTGCTTGTAACATAATAACATTATAAATACATTCAGTGATTTTTCCCCCTTTTTTTCAAAAGGGCTTGTGCCGTTATTTAATTGGAAATTTTACTGTGCAGACATAATGCATTGGGGATTTTACGACATGTTGCAGATGTATGAAATCAGGGAAATTTTGTTGGGAAAACTTCATTTGGGGAAAGTACCGAAAGTTGGCACCAAAAATGGGGTAAAAAAATCACTGGACATTGAATTAGAAAATAACAACAATATTTTTTTCACAATGTGAATTACATTTAATACAATTTCTAATTTACAACTGATGTCCTACCAATCACGTAGATCTTGTCTTTGTGTATGACGCTGCCTGCAAGCACCCTTGGGGTTGACATGGGAGGTAACTCTAGCCAACTGTCTTCTGTAGGGTCATATCTGGGAAAATCAATTGAAATCAGAAATGTTGTACTCATGTAAATTAAACAAAAACAGAATAACAACATTGTTTGAATTCTCTTTCTTTACATCATGAGGCAAATATAAGGGGTGGGGGGATGGAGACCCCTAAATTGTACGTCTCACTCTGCTTGGCATTTAATAGATTATCCTCTAGCATTACAGATTAGTACAGATATTTTTTATTTTCAATTGTTTCCAATTAACTTTTTTTATTCTCAATGTCTAACTAACAATGTGAATACCGGTAGTAACCTGAAACTCTCCAAGTTTATGTAAGATGCTCTAGGCTTCCTTCATAGACTTGTGCCTGTCAATCAAACACCTTCAATACATGGAGTAGACATGGATATCATTAAAAAAAAAGGTGCCCTCTTACTTTTCAAAATTTAAGGATTTGCCCCTAATATCAAATTCCACAGAAGTACTCCTAATGTGGCCATGTCAATTTTGCAATGAACAGAAAAAATTACATCCCATAAAAACAAATAGTCTGAACTCATATTCCTTTCTAATCCTTATTAAGCTCCTTAATTACTAACCTGTAGGCAGAGCTGCTGATGCTGTTGGTTGTCTCCCCTCCAAACACGTATAGTTTACCCTTGTAGGAGATGGAGGTCATGAACCTCAGTGCCTTGTTGAGGGGGTTGATGAGTGTCCAGGCATTAGTGTGAGGATCATAGCGCTCAACGGTGGTCAGTATCTCTGCTCCATCCTGTCCACCTATGGCATACGCATATCTGGAGACATAGGAATCCAAACTTAAGAGGATGCTATATCAACACTGATATGTGTAGTGAGTATCCAAAAAAAAAATTTCACAAAAGACTTTTGTAAATTAAAGCAAACATTAATCTACCTAGAAACAATATGATTTACGGTATCAGTATGAACATGGATGTACATTTGTTTACAATTATGTTTGGTTGATATCTTGGTTCCCATGCATGCTCATAATCCTTCATAAGATTTAATCTAATGTTCTTGTACACTTCACCCATAATAATCGTTTTGATTGTAAACAGGCGAGTGGAGTGGCATCTTGAGTGTGCTACAGCACTAGTGCTATCACATGCATAGTTGAATAGATTCAAAACTATCAGAATACTTTAAAAGGAACACCCTCAATACTTACCCATCCACAATTGTGAGTCCAAACTGAGAGCGGGACATATGCATCTTGGCTTTGGTCTGCCATGTTCGGTCCACCTGGTCATAGATGTAGAAGTTGTTGGACACACCCTCTGTAGTGATGGAGCCTCGATAATTTATCTTACGAATCGCCCCGCCCGCCAAGTAGATCTGATTGTCTCCCGTGATGGCACAACCTGGTGATGAAACATTGCAGTATCATGATTACCAGGAAAATTCAACTGTTTCAATAACCGTATATCATATTACATATGTACTTGTATCTGGAATATAAGTAATGGTATGTATCATATACACAAGTATGTCAAATAACTAAAATGGAAACAAATTATGGAAATTTTTCTCAGTATATTATATAAGCCTGCTATACCTTCATGTATATTAGAATCATACCTGGGGTATAAAGACTCTGAGGCAGTTTACAAATGTGGATCACCTCTCCAAGTTTAGGTAGCAACATTTCCATGCTGTTGTACTTTTTGAGCTGATCTTCAGTGTAGGGGTTGGCGATGATCATAACCCCTCGTTCGTACATCATGCCTTTACGTGGCATCAGATTCAGATCCATTTCCTGTTGTCTGTTCCTCAACATGTGGTAATACCTGACAGTCTCTAGAGTCTTCCTCAGAGATGCACACTCCCGCAGTATCGGGCTGTTGTCTATCCGGTCACAGAAGTAATAGGAACTAATATTAGCAAACCTGACACAGTCCATGATAGCAGTCAGATGTTGCTGACGCCCGGCTGTATCTGTATTCAGCCACTCCATGCAGGCCTCAAATACTGTCTCTTCCGCAGTCACATTAATGTCATCATCACTGATGATCTCCACCAGTTTGTCAGCAGGGAGGCTGAGGAATTCCTGCTGGTGACATAAATTATTGAACTGGTTGTTGATTATTTCTTTTGCCTTATTTGCAAGTACCTGACACTCATGGGCCTTAGCAAAAAAGTAGACACCAATACAGTTGCTGACTGTGATATGATTCATCATGAACTCTGCACATCCACTCCTGAGGCTGAGGAGTTGGAAACGGTTACTGGCAGAGAGGAGGTGCTGAACTGTGTCCTCTGACAACATTACTGTCCCAGTATACACATAGTCCAGCACCAGCTCCATAGTCAGGGCCTCTAGCTCTTTCAAAGTTATCTTATCCTGCTGACTCTCTGCCATGTCCGTTGAGAACATGGCCATGAAGAATGGACTAGATACTGCCAGCACATTTTTGTGACAAGGAAACTCGCGTCCATCCACAATCAGTGTAACATCCACAAACTCCTTATTTTTGTACAGGCGAGAGAAACCCTTCAGTAGGTTGCTGGGGCGCTCCTGATCCATGAAGCGGTCGTCTCCTGGGGTGGGCGTTTCGCTGGTCTGGGACCCTTGGGATTCCAGTAGGCTGTTAGGGCACAGACTAGCCTCCATTGTCAATACAGGACTAGCCGGTCCTGTAATATTCCACCCAGCTCAACATCAACACTTCTCTACTGTACCAGTACTTAGTAATTGTCAGCAGCAACAACGTATGCTGTATGTTCCTTGGAATAAAACCTAAGTAAAAAGCAAAGTACAAAGGTATATATTGAATCATAACTGATGTAAAAACTAGCATGTTGGGAATAAAAATACATACACACTCTATCTTATACACCATCATATGTACTTACATGTACACTGGTCATACACAGACGGACTGTGTTTTGGAATACATTTTATAATTGTGCCCCTGATTTCTGTGACCAAAGGTTAACAGTACATTTACTAATGCCAGAAAAATATACACTTTTGAGTTCCGGTCTGACCCTTCCTTCTAATCCTCAACTCAAAAATATTAAATTGGCCTTTAACAAACCTGAGATTCAGTACAACTTGTGTGTGATAGTGTTATCTGGGACATTGACAGTATCAATATACTTTTTCAAGAGTCAGCTTCCTAAGTTCTAGTTTCAACTATTAATTTGTGGCCATTCTCCAATGTTAATATCAAAAAACTTGTGAGGTATAATCACGGATGTTATTACATGAAAATTGACAACAATATATACATTTACAACGTCGCTGTACCCAAAACGGAACAGTACCTAAAACGGGACACTTGTGGGAAAACGGACCAAGAAACTGTCATGCAATGCAAAATAGTATTTTTATGTATGCATTTTTCATTTGATGATACAGGGCTTTATCCAGTTTTTCTTTGCTATCAATGTTGGGTAAATACCCCTCAGAAACCATACTTAAACTTTCCCCTTTTACTTGCTTAATTTCCCCTTTAAGCAAGAAATATTCCATTTTTAGTCTAGAATTAAAAAATAGATTTTGATTGATGATTTTAATTTTCCTATTCACTCATTTTACAAAGGAGCTTTGTGATATTAATATTGAGTTGAGAACTTGTGTTGATTTGAAATTAAAAAGTGCTGAAATGTCACCTCAGGTCATCTATATTTTCAAAAAGATTTTGGGGGAGAGTCCCTGTACCCCTCAAGACGGGGCTTCCCTCCCCCGGGCCCTCTTGTACTATCCCCCTAGGTTCAGATCTTAGGCCCTCACCAAAGTGGCTTGTGGCCACCCGCCCCACTCGAAGTGGAGGTATTTTCTCCTTAAATGGAAAAGAGGGTAGTAGAATTATCAAATTTTTTTCTGGATAAATCCCTGTGATACTTTTAATACAATTTAACTGTATATAAGCTTTATTGGCTGCTGATTATCGTTACATGGACAATTTAAAGGTCCATAATATTAGAACAAATCCCCTCGCATTCACCCATTGTAACATATATAAAGAGGAAAAGAAGTCGCTAGATCGATGAACAGTGACATTGACCTTAAACAAAAAAATACAGAAACACTTGTATGTAGTTTCATGAAATTCTGTTAAGGAATAGTCGCTAGAGCGATGACAAAGTTTTTCTAAAAATAGTAACAGCGACCTTGACTTCAATGTAGAAACCTGAAACACAAACTTGTTCAAGGTATTGTTATACGAAACACTTGTATGTAGTTTCATAAAAATTCTGTTGAGGAATGAAGTCGCTAGAGCGATGACAAAGAGTGTATTAACAGATGTACATATGGGCGGAATCCTATATCCCCTCAAACTTTCGTTGCAAGGGGATAATAATAACCAAACCAAAACTTTCCGGATTAACCTGCAGCACAACGCTATTTATTTGGATATCATTTTCAAAAGTCTATTTCATCAAAACTAATGCTAGTTTGGAGAAGAACTATGAAGAGAACCCCCTTTGACTCTAAGGTATTTAAACAAAACTATGTATACTTTTCTGCTGATATTGATAGTTTATATATAAATCTGGAAATGTTAGGCAAAATACCAAAGTGTCCCTTTCAGGGTACAGTAATGCGGGTTCAAGGGCCTATGTTACCCTGATAGTTTTGTGCATTCTATTTATACAACCACACATGTGTACACCCGAAATACCAATAGGAATGAAAAGTGGAAAGTATCGATTTATGAACAAACATTTTGGAACTATTAGTATGGTATAAAGAACATTGATATTTATCTAAAAAGTGTCCAGATTTGGGTACAGTGAGGTTATCCTGTAATTATACTATGACTATCTGTTGGTTTACGAATTTGATTAAAACAAAATTAATCGTAATAAACCAAATCAAAGGTAATTCAATGTTTTCTTTATCTAAAAAACATGTAAATTCTACATGTAGTAAACAATCAAACAGAAATAACTGAAGCATCTTTTTATGGCTTTATAAAACCATGGAATTTAACAGTGGCGGATCCAGAGACCTATCTGGGGGGGTTTCCAAATTTCCTGGGGGGGTTTCCATGTGGGGAAAAATTGAGGAAAATGGTGAAAATACATGATTTTTAAAGAAAATTCTCGGGGTGGGGGGGTTTCCTGAAGCCCATAAAACCCCTCTGGATCTGCCACTGAATTATATTCTATCTAAGTCTGTGATAAAACATAGCAGCCTGAAAATATATTCCAGCTAATCTGGACCTAAACTTAAGTATTCAGAGTAATTTTACACTTTAAATGTACATATACAGATCACAGGTACTAGCCTCGTCTGTCAATACACCAATAATATAATCTTATAGATGTACATATTGACAGACAAGGCAGCTAGTACCTGTGTACAGATGTATATAGGTTTAGATCAACTTTCAGCAAAAAAAAACCACCCAATTATGATATATATATATATATATATATCATTTTGATAGTATTTTTACTGAATGTTGATATAAAGCCCTGAAACGGATACAATTACTCATTAAACAAAATATAGCTAAGACAAATTCTCAAGTCCCTGTGCAACGATCCACTTGACGTAAATCTGTCACTACGTTTACTGAACCCTTTCATTGTAAATATATATGGACACATCGGTTTTCGCATCATACCATTCAGAAAAAGCTTATAAATGGGGAGAAAATATATTTAATCGGAATGCTGCACTTAAATTGGAAGACATTGACATTAGACAGTTGAAACTTGAGTTAGAGCAGGACCAAATTGAACTACAACGTGATCTGGATGCATTGCAGCTGTGGGCATCAACATGGGGAATGCGTTTTAATGTTAAAAAATGTCATGTAATGAGAGTGAGTCGGTCTAAACAACAACATGAACACTTTTACTCGTTAAACAACCAAATTCTACAGCAAGTTTCGGACAGTCCCTATTTAGGCCTTACTTTTAGTGAAGATTTGAAATTCAGCACCCATATCAACAAAACTGCCAGAAAAGCTAATTCCACCCTCGGATTTCTTCGCCGCAACCTTAAACACAGCCCTGAATCCCTAAAGAAAACAGCTTACATCGCACTAATTCGTTCGGTTTTAGAATACAGTGACACAGTCTGGGATCCAGCGAACCGGAAAGAGACAGATACCATTGAATCGGTTCAACGACTTGCAGCCAGATTTATATATAACAACTATGGACGGAAATCAAGTGTAACTAAAATGTTAGCAAATTTAGGACTCAAACCACTAGCAGAAAGACGCAGGGAACATCGGCTAGTGTTGTTTTACAAAATTATTTCAGGCTTGGTGGGAATACCTCCGGACGATTATTGAACTCCAAATTCACAAAGAACTCGCCAAAAGCATACCAAAACTTACCAAATAATACCTGCAAATTCGGACCTTTTTAAAAATAGTTTTTTTCCAAGGACAGTCAAGGATTGGAACAGGTTAGACCCGGGTCTTGTTTCGGCTGATAAGTTGACCACTTTCAAAAGAACTTTGTGCCTTGACTGAGCGCATATCCCGTGGACAGCTATCTTCTATCAGAAGGAGTCCATGTATTTATACAGATACAGATACAGAGTCACAGTCTGTGCATCTGTCAACTTTTAGAGCCCAGGCTCTATTCGCCCGTCAGATCACACTGTATTCTGGCATGCATTTTTAACTATCCAGTCAACAATTACCTTTCGGACAAAAAATATTTCAATTTTCTTTCTTGTTATGGTGGGTTATTGACATTAAGTATGCTAACTAGATGCCATTGTCCATTTGTTTTGACAAGGAAAATAATAAAACCGGATGTTAACAGACTTGTCTTTTAGAGTGATGTCCCCTAGTATAATTCTTTTATGTCAAAGTTAATTTGAGGTCGTAGACGTTTAAGCGCGAATGTTTTGAATCAGCAGATTGCTCGGTAAAATTTGAACTAAAAAAAAGATACTGAATCAACTGCGAGAAGGTAAAGTAATTAAACTAGATGATGTTTAGTTATAATGATAAATCAGCAATGGTCGTACAATACAATTATGTCTTAAACCAACAAACAGACACAGTCTTTTCCAACAATTTCAGTGGTAGGCCTACTGAGTACTGTGGAGCTGAGCCCAGAGACAGCTGTCAGTAAACATTTAAATATACACCACATGTCTTCAACACATTTTCAATTCTACATTATTTCTATACACAAATACACTGATTAAGTGATTTTCAATTTCATATCTTCCTGCTGGTTGCTTTCCGAGGAATTTATCAATTGTTTTTGCGAATAAAAAAATTGTTGCCAAATTTGATAACTTAAAATAAGAAAATAATGCACCACAAAACTAATTTCAGTTGTACAACTCATGATGAATATCAAAAACCAAGTAGACTAGAAATTAAAAAAAAAAATGAAATTCAGGCAGGTTTCTTTCAGCCTATACATTTTTTTTTTCAAATGTTTTTCTGGTACAAATATATGCATAAATAGATACATTTTTTTCATACTCCCTTACACTCATTCGCACGCTCACTGCATTCACATATACTCACTCATCATTTCATAATGTTTTGTTATCATCATCATCATCACTCCAATATCTTTATCATGACAATGACATCATCCTCATCGTTATCATCCTGACATCAGTAAACTCATCATCATACTGATTTCATCGTCATGTCACTCCAAAAAGACAACATCATCATCATCATCATCATTATCACCATCCTCATGACATCAAACACTGGGATCATCATCATCATCATCATAATTATGACTGAAATCAACATTATTCTCATACTACTATCATCATCATCAAACTGGTATCATTATCATCATCATATGACATTTTCATCATGACATTGACATAATCTTCTTCATAGTTATCCTCATCATACTCTCACCAATTCCATCAACAACACACTAAAATCATCATGATCATCATCATCATTAATCATCATCATCATCGTCATAATCACACTGATTTCATCATTATCATACTCATGCAATCATCAACCTCTAACTGATATCACCTTCATTGTATAATAATAAAATCATTATTCATCGCGATACAAAGTAGTTATCATATTGATGTCATCGTCATCATAATAAACAAAAATACCAATTTTAAGCCTGTAAAATTTTGATAAAATTGCACGGCAACTGACTGCAGGAATATTCAATAAAAAATTAATAACATCATAAAATCAAAGAGAAATGACAAGTGAATCCACTGATGTGCATGTATACTTTTCTCACACAACCACTAGGTTTCCTCACTCCCGACTCATTGGATAATCCTGTTAGGAGTTGGTAAACACTTTTGGTTACCCACTAGTGGGTAAAACCCTCGACGTGATTTCATTGGTCGATCTTCTAATTATGATGTCAAGTAACAATGCATTGAGACGTGATCTGCCATTGTGACGTCATAGTTCATGACACTGTTTCGCCGATCATCAACAGGAATAAGGTTTTTCCAAAAGAGACATATCAAAGTTTTTTATCTGAATGTTGTGGGAGAAAAAGGCCCTTACATTTGCGATGGTTGGTAATCATGTTTATCTAAATCTCGTTAATTAAAATTCAAATGTAAACGACACTCGCTAAACCTCGTGTCTTTATACAATTTGTAAATTAACTCACTCCAGTTAGATAAACATGATAACCAACTATCACTCGTTGGGGAACCTCTATTTAATTATGTTTTTAAGATTTTGTCTAATTCTTTGTCATTACGTAGCCGTGATTGCAGTGTGCTCCCGTCCTTCCTATTCCCTTCCCAGTTCAATGTACAGATTAGCTAAATAGTCAAGTGTATTTTTTTCAATCAAGTTGCAACTAAACAAACAACATATTGTAGCTGTTTTGGATAATGGGTGACCTGAGCTACAGACTACCCCAACCCCAGCTGCTGAGACTGACACTGGAAGACTGTGCTATTTGTCTAATAAACCGTGACGATCCATTCCTGTTTGCCAGTCCATCAGCTTGGAAAAACCGCAAGGAAACAGATCGTGATGCAGGTTTGGTGGTTTAACTACTCTGCTGATAGTGGTACATGTAACTAAGAGCCAGTTATAAATAACACTTCCTTGAGCTTCTTTGATGAATTGGCTTCTATTACTTTTTTTATAGATCAACTGTCGTAACAGTGATGTAGGTAATGTGCTTTTTGGCTTATTCACAGAACATTTTCTCAGTTTTGATTATTTATACAATTATAATGTCTATCAGAGGATTTAATATTAATACTAATTATTACTGTAAAGGGAGGTGCCTTATACGTTGAATTCTTACTTCTGTGCAGATTTGAATTACAGATTCTTTTGTATATTTTTAACTGATTTGAATGTCCTTTTTTAACCCTTGCTATTTTAAGGTTTTGAATCTCTGTAAATTATTCATAATTTTTAATAAGATTTAATAAAAAGTAGGCTTTTCAATAACTTTTATTTGAAGTGACCAAATAATATTTTAACTAGCCAACTTTTGTAAAATTACATATGAGATAAATAAGAAATAGAAGATTTGAACAGGCCGAAATCGGAACTGAACTAGTCATTTCAGCTTGCTGCCTATTCTTCATGAAAACTCAGCGAATTTGTGTAGGAGTATGTACTGGTCAGCTATTTCAGAGTTCTAAGGTAATTAAAGCATGAGGTCTCTGTTAAAATATTGATAGAACTTGGCAAAATAATGACACTAATTTGCCTAGAAGTGTGAGGGCATTCATGTCTGAAAGAAAATTTCTTGTTTTCTGGTATTTGCATTTATGTTTTACAAACTTGTATAAATATCTTAATTGTATATATATATTTTGTAGTTACCCTATTCAGACAGTGTTTTTTTTACCAAAATAGATGTGTATACATAGAGATGGATGCCTATATTAAAGCATGAGCAAGGAACATTGGACAAATCAATCTTACCTTACTAATTCAAATTTTAAGTAATCAAAAACTGACATTCTGTTCATAAATAATGAAAAAATGGAAAGCATTCCTTTAGACATAAGGTTGCAAATTTTACAATTTGAAATATGTCTGTCAGAAAATCTGGAAACACCAGAAGTTGGTTATCAAATGTGCATAGCTTTTGTCACTATGCATATTTAGCTCTTCTTTCTTCCGCAATGCAATGAATAACTAGTAGAGACTTTAAAACCTAATGAATCCAATGGAATATTGATTGAATAATAATGATAATTATGAAGATATTATTACTGAGATGCAGAGATTGATGAACTTTTTATGATACTAGTACAGTTTAATATGAATATTCTGTTCCCCATAGATCCTGAAACACAACAGTTGAGACAAGTGGCACAAGCATCAGAACACAAGTCCAATAGATTTAATGACAAGGTGGTCTTGCCTATGCCAGATGTAAGAGCCCAGGCAGAGAAGATATACAGACAGGTGGTGCCTCTGATGAACCCTACAGTCAGCATCCAACTGGCTGAGGCCTGGTAAGGCCCCCTTAGTAGCCCCATTATCTGTATCCATTAACTGGACTAGAATTGTTGAGGCCTCCCCCTTCCCAGCAGCCCCATGCCTGCAGTATTTGCAAGGCCTAAGAGTAACCTCATTATCAGGAACCAACTGACCAGGACTTGTTGAGACCCCTCTAACCCAGAAGCCCCAGCTTTCAGTTTTCCACTAACTTAGTTTGATTTGATCTGAATGTTATATACATGTAGTAATAATATTTGTATCTGGGGCTTTTATATAGAGACCACTGATATTTTCTCAAAGTCATGTGGCACAGGTAAAGTCACTTTATTTTCCCTAAAAAGCATACTATTTGTGTTTGCTGATATTTTCTCAAAGTCATGAGCCACAGGCTCCTGTGGAGAGGAGGTAGAAAAATCAGTTACCTTTCTTTTCAACTTTCAAAGCTTTTAATATCAATTCTCTTTGTGGGAATATTACAGGTTGAGAAGTCACTTTGATTACCAGCCCCACACCAGTGTGGCCCGCTGTGATATTTACAGCTACTATGTCCAGTACTGTAGCCACATCTCTTCGCCTCCCTGTAATCACGCTAACTTTGGGAAGGTTGTCAAGACTGTTTTCCCCAGGATATGTACAAGGCGCATTGGTGTCCGTGGAAATTCCAAGTAAGTTGCAGATTTGCTTGAAAGAGTGACACATAAGGATCAATATCCTAAGTGTGAAATATTACAATGTAATTAAAAATGGATTCAAAGGATTTTCAAATTTTCCTGTACAGAACATTTGAAAAAATTGAGATTTCCAAAATAACAAGTACATTAGATTGCCATATTTTCTCAAAAAATTAATATAGAAAAGATACGGATGGGAGTATTTTGACCGTGATTTCAGCCTGATACAACCTATGTTTACCATTGATAAGGGCGTTAAAGCTGTTATATGTAGATATTGATATCAGTGTAAACAATCTGGTTATATCTGTTTAACCAGTATTAAAGCATTAATACTGAATCAGTGTTTAGCGATATGTTACCAGAGTTAGGATGCTTTGTATAGCGATGTGGTACACTAGTATAAATGACATTATTGTGGGGTGTTATCATGGATATATACAGACTTTTTTTGTGGCCAAATATGGGCCAGTTCCCCTCTCCAATTTTGGCATTATTTTCCCCTATTTCAGTTTTATTTTCCCCTATTTCAGCTTTATGTTCCCCTATTTCAGCTTTATTTTCCCCTATTTCAGTTTTAAAATACTACCACATGAATCTGTCTAATGGTTCCAATTTTTCTAAAAAATTTCCATCAGTTCCACAACTGAGTGATTTATTTCATTTTCCCAGTGTTGATAATAATTGTCGCTGCTGATATTTTAAAATCTGTAAAGAACAGTGAGAAACAAAATTAAAGATGTAGTCCATGCCCCCGTCTCGTACTCTCTCCCCTGGCTCCGGCCTGCAGCCCTCGCTGGACGGGTCATGCACCTACAGCACATATTTCTCCCTATATCAAAAAAGGGTACTAAAAAATACAACTTTCCTATTTCTGCAGCAATCCCTGGTTATGTACATGTGTTCCATTTGAAGGTATCACTACTATGGTATTGGACCTAGGGAAGGTGATGACGGACCCTTGGTATTGGTCAGTAGTGGCAAAAAACAGCATTGGTAAGTAAAATATTACTGTCCGTCTTCTGTGGAAACGATTCATCAAACTTGATACATGTTAACAAACCTATGGGTTTTCAGTCAAATGCATGATTATATTCCAGGACATAGTTGTATTTCCTTTTAGGCGTGTACAGACTTTTGAGTAGAACTGCAGGTGTTTTATCAGATGAATTGGTGGCCGGTTCAGTTTACAGTTTTCTCTGCTTATAGTCTTTGAACTAACTAATATATTGTATTCATAAACAGAAATAACCTTGCCATCCAAATAACAGAAATAGTTTGTATTGGTTAACTTACAACAACTGCCACTGTCACCAATAAACTTGTGCCAGATATTTTTTCTGTCACATTCCTAAACACTTTAAATCCTTCAATTAGAATTATTTTACATAGAAAATGCAGAGTCAAGTCATCCTTATTAGGCTATCTTACATTTAGCAGTACTGTATTTGACTTGATAAGTGTCCCATCCCTTGCACAGTGGATGGTTCTGCAATCCAAAATTGTTCATTCTCCGGGTTGGTTATAAGGTTAAATATGGTAAAAAAATAAAAAATATTAATAACCTTTCAAAATTAAAGTGATAAGGGAATGAACAAACAATCACACTTGTTTCTATCTTAGAAATATTTTAGGATTAAATGGCATCGATTGAAATGGTCCCATGGGAGGTAACATAGCTGTAATTATTGTGTTTCAATACTGGGGACTATAAACTACTAATGATGATGTACATGTACTCTCTGTTTCTACCTTTTCAGCTTTGTGTATGAAGCCAGGGCTGATAAGAGAGATAACAAACAGAAATTAATGAAAACACCAATATATCAGGTAATTATGAAGTGGAATCCGATTGTCTGATTAATTAGAACACAGGGACAAAAAGTGCAAAGGTGTGAAAACCATAGTGGAAAAACTTATATCTAAATGAGATAACCCAAATTTTTAGATTATTTTAATTGTACAGATACAGTTGCTTATACTGTCTGATAAATAACAGAGTGCGTTTGTTCTTTATCTGGTTCATGCGTTTATATATGATACAAGACCATATTGGCAATTAATGGGAATTAAGGTTCTTTAGAGCTATGGATGTGACTCTCAAGCCCTAACATACAGACCGGGGCCTTCAGAATGGCCACATAAAGAAAAGCTCTTGCATTAGATACATAACCTATAGACTGGTTTATAACAGAAGAGCCTAAAATCCACTGATGAAGACAGGAGAGAGCTGCTGACACTACTGGAGCCTGCCCCTATTGTAAACCGCTGTCATGATCTTCCAATACAACTGACAGACATTGTAAGTAAAAGCGGTCTGACCTCAGATAAACACTAAACCTAGCTGTAGTGCCGACAAGTGTCATTATCAGGTCTTCCACTTACAGAAATTACAGTTTGACCTCTTAGCGGTTATCAGAGCCTATCCCAAATCCCCACAGTTGTCATCTGGTCTTTCAGTACAACTGACAGGCATACATTAAGTTATAACCAATGACCAAGTACTTATTATAGCCTACCCCAAATGTCTACAACTGTCATGGCCTTCAGTACAACTGACAGACATGCATTAAGTTACTGCTAATAGTATGACCAAGTACTTATTATAGCCTACCCCAAATGTCCACAACTGTCATGGTCTTGAATGCACAACTGACAGACATGTAAGTTTAAATGATAAATCTTGGCACCTTTGAACTTCCACTTTCTTCAAAATTGAATATACCTGGCAATATTAAATTACAAAAGAGGAAGTATCCAATCAAAAAACCCTCAACCACATATGTCCTTAATCATAACTATTAACTGACATTTTAGTGGTCTAGTTGACTAACACTGTTGTTGTATCTACAGATGAAGGAATTCCTGGCACTATACAGAGTCCACTCACTTGAGATCCTGGAGTGTGTTCTGGTGGCACACTTCTACCAGGTCTGTATTAGTTCTAACACCAGGGTCAATGACTATAAAACAAATTCTGGAGTGTGTTCTGGTGGCACACTTCTACCAGGTCTGTATTAGTTCTAACACCAGGGTCAATGACTATAAAACAAGTTCTGGATCAAACAGAAACTGACTCCCAGCATTTTGATATATAGACACAGTGCTGTTGTAAAACAGCTTTGAACAGGATTTTCTGATTGCCCTTTATAATTATAGTATATTAGGTGCCATTGTTTTGACAGATACATAATCAGGAGTAGATTTAATTCAGGTAAACTGTTATTGAAGGTGCGAGATGTGATTGTGGAGTTCTGGAGAAAACTGCCGCTACAGTTTATTACAAGTTCACTGATGACATATCCTGTAGTGATGGAGGCCATTGTGGAGTATGACCATCTTACTTATCGAGCCATCTGTAACATCCTGATGCCAGACCCAGTTCAACCAACACCATCAGGGTAAGCTCTAAGCTGTCCTGCCCTTACATGTATACAATTTGACTATCTTTCCTGGAGTTATGGCCCTTGAAACTTTAACTTCTGCTCCCGAAACCTTGTAAATGCAACTCCCCCTAACATTTTATTGGATCTTTTGTAACCTGAAAAATCGAAGTGAAGGATCATAATTTTATAAAGTGCTTGAAGAAGAAATTTGTGTCTGTTCCCTGGAGGTATCGCCTTTGAAACTTTAAATAAGAATTCAAACTTAGTGTAAAGTATATGTTGATGGATCAATCATTATCTAAAACTGTAGTTTTAATAGAAACTGAAATAATAGTGGTAGATTTGCATGAGAAGGCTCTAAACAGATAGCAACCAATTTGTTATATTTCATAATTATTTGATTAATAATTTGAAATGTTGGGAACACCAAGGAGAACTAATAAAGTACCTTGATAAGATGAAGCTTTGGAGTGGGGGAGGGGCCGGAGGGGTTATTTATTTATGTGCTCACTTACAGTTTCTCTAGTTGAAGTCTTCCACTAACACCCAGGGCTTGAACCTTTGATCCTTAGGCCCATTGGTTATCTTTATAGTAACAAAATCCTTCTACAATTATGTATATATGTAACCAAGATATGCACACTATATATATATATAGTTGGTACTCTACACAGATTCAACTCTTTGTACATCAGACCAGATTTCTTATAATGCCCACACTTTAAACTTCATTATAAGTGACAGCATTTCTTCTGCAGCAACATATAGAAACCATTGTCTTTAATTTCACAACACTAATATATCTACAGTAAATGAACGTCTAGTCCATCAAAAATGATCTCTATGTCCACACAATCTCCACAGCAGAAGGCATATCTGGGTAATAAAATGGCAACAAAATACTCAGAACAACATGCTTCTACAAGTTGGAGATAATTCTAAATGAAAAAAAAGTAAATTAAGTGAACCTGAGAACATCTAAAAGAGACCTAAGACACCATCACATGGAGCAATGCCTAAAGGTAACTGCAGTACTTTAGTCATTCATATATAATAAATCTTAATGAGTTACGTTTGGAGGTAATTTATCCAACATCACGATGTGGGTATGACTTATTTTTATACCTAGATCATCAATCGTCAGAGCTCACATAATAATTTGGTGAATGATGCATGTTACCTGTTTCTTTCAGACTTGTGCAATTTGTAAAAGACTTTGTTGACAACCTTGACTTTTGGATTAATGAAGGACTCCACTTGTATCCCAAGAGACTGCGAGAACAGAAACTGGAAGGTTAGTGAGAACAGAAACTGGAAGGTTAGTAGGTTCTCATGTTCACTTGATAAAAATTATAATGTACTTAGAAACCAGACTCTATTTCATTTTAGACTAAAATTAACCTTCATTTCATTTTTATAAGGTCACTCACATTTAGGAATAACATGTAGTGGTTCGATAAAATCAATTTTCCAATAAAAAAGAAACGTTTGTTATTTATACCTGTAATGTATACAAAAGTGAATTAATCTGCAAATAAATCGAAAATGAAACAAGTGCAATGTCAAAAATCTTTTTGAAGAAGTCACAAAGTTTTTTCATCTTGAAAGTTAAATTTTGGAAGAAATGTGGCCTCTTATGATACAATAACCCACTAGCAATTCAGTAAAAGCAAAATACTTACATAGAAGGTATATTTTCAGCACAAAAAGTATCTTCGCAAATTACTTGGGTGAGCAAACTGGTTTTACGGTAATGTATTTGCTTTCCTTTATCTTTGTGATTGTAAGTGTTGTGTGTGACTCTTTCCTATACAGCGTGTCGCAAGTTCCAGCTGCTGATGACTGGAAACCTCCAATTATCTTGGACAGCTACTGCTGCCAGGTTTGTCCTCCACAGCCATGAAACTGTCCGCCAACTACAGCTGGTACTTCAGGGTCTAGATGTTGAGGACATCATAGCCCACTGTAATCATTGTGATCTGGATGAGGACACTGTTAGACAGTGTAAGTATGATGTGGACACTAAGGTCCGACAGTGTAAGTATGATGTGGACACTAAGGTCCGACAGTGTAAATATGATATGGAGTCACTAAAGTCTGACAGTGTAAGTATGATGTGGACACTAAGGTCCGACAATGTAAGTATGATGTGGACACTAAGGTCTGCCACAGTGTAAGTATGATGTGGACACTAAGGTCCGACAGTGTAAGTATGATGTGGACACTAAGGTCCCACAGTGTAAGTATGATGTGGACACTAAGGTCCGACAGTGTAAGTATGATGTGGACACTAAGGTCCGACAGTGTAAGTATGATGTGGACACTAAGGTCCGACAGTGTAAGTATGATGTGGACACTAAGGTCCGACAGTGTAAGTATGATGTGGACACTAAGGTCCGACAGTGTAAGTATGATGTGGACACTAAGGTCCGACAGTGTAAGTATGATGTGGACACTAAGGTCCGACAGTGTAAGTATGATGTGGACACTAAGGTCCGACAGTGTAAGTATGATGTGGACACTAAGGTCCGACAGTGTAAGTATGATGTGGACACTAAGGTCCGACAGTGTAAGTATGATGTGGACACTAAGGTCCGACAGTGTAAGTATGATGTGGACACTAAGGTCCGACAGTGTAAGTATGATGTGGACACTAAAGGTCCGACAGTGTAAGTATGATGTGGACACTAAGGTCCGCCACAGTGTAAGTGTGATGTGGACACTAAGGTTTGCCACAGTGTAAGTATGATGTGGTCACTAAGGTCCGCCACAGTGTAAATATGATGTGGACACTAAGGTCCGCCACAGTGTAAGTATGATGTGGACACTAAGGCCCGCCACAGTGTAAATATGATGTGGACACTAGGGTCCGCCACAGTGTAAGTATTATGTGGACACTAAGGTCCGACAGTGTAAGGATGATGTGGACACTAAGGTCCGACAGTGTAAGTATGATGTGGACACTAAGGTCCGCCACAGTGTAAATATGATATGGACACTAAGGTCCGCCACAGTGTAAGTATGATGTGGACACTAAGGCCCGACAGTGTAAGTATGATGTGGACACTAAGGTCTGACAGTGTAAGTATGATGTGGACACTAAAGTCCGACAGTGTAAGTATGATGTGGACACTAAGGCTCGACAGTGTAAGTATGATGTGGACACTAAGGTCTGACAGTGTAAGTATGATGTGGACACTAGGGTCCGACAGTGTAAGTATGATGTGGACACTAAAGGGCCGACAGTGTAAGTATGATGTGGACACTAAAGGGCCGACAGTGTAAGTATGATGTGGACACTAAAGGTCCGACAGCGTAAGTATGATGTGGACACTAAAGGTCCGACAGTGTAAGTATGATGTGGACACTAAGGCTCGACAGTGTAAGTATGATGTGGACACTAAGGTCCGACAGTGTAAGTATGATGTGGACACTAAGGTGCGACAGTGTAAGTATGATGTGGACACTAAGGTCTGACAGTGTAAGTATGATGTGGACACTAAGGTCCGACAGTGTAAGTATGATGTTGACACTAAGGTCCGACAGTGTAAGTATGATGTGGACCCTAAAGGTCCGACAGTGTAAGTATGATGTGGACACTAAGGTCCGACAGTGTAGGTATGATGTGGTCACACAGTCCTTGTCATTCCCAATACTCCAGGGGTAACGCTGACTTTCCCTCTGTCCACCCCTGGAATATGTCATAGCAGAATTAAAAGCTCAGTCTGCGCCACCTTTTGAATGAGACGAGACGACTAGTTTGATCCTTTGATGTACATAAAAATAATCTGTCAGTCGTGAAATGTTAAAGTTGGCTGGCTTTGAAGTTAGGTGTTGCTCCTCGGTAATCTTCAAATGAAAGGTATCAGCCTATTGACTGCTGTATATTTCTATCAAATGTACCTGCTTTTTATTTGATTCATTTTGATAATTTCTATTAGAAATCCAGCATAGCCTTGTTTAGATTTTAAAAGGAATACAAAATATTGTTTTCATTTCTTTTTTATATTTAGATCTTGGAAAGTTTCAACAACTTTTGATTAACAACTGTGCCCTTGAGGAATACATCGAATGGATTGAAACAATGATTCTTGATCATCTCCATGATAATGAGGTAAAATATCAGCAACTCCGCGGCATGAAGTTTTGTGATACATGTTGACAGTCCTGTAGTATATCTATGAGGCATTGTATTGTATTAACAGCCGAACAGCATGGAACATTGTACTGAAATTGTAGTGCCAATGTACTGGGTCCATGGCCAAGGAGCATGAGGACATGTATTGTGTCAATCGCTCAACAGCATAAGGTGTTGTGATATTGCAATGTTCCAGCGCGCAGTGTCCACAGCCCAGCAGTATGTTTGTGTTGTAATATAACAATTTTCCATTAGCTTTTATACCCCCTGCAATGAATTTATTCGGAGAGATGCTTCTTTTGCAATACCCTTAGCCAAGGCTTGCTCATTCTGATTTACACCCGTTTTTTTCCAGAATAATGCTCATTAAACATTTTACATATTGAAAACTTGAAACATGTTCACCATCTGATATTGTTGTACATTGCAACTGAAATTATTTTCGCAATATTTGCTGTGGGAGCCTGTGGTTTAAAGGTCTAATTAGTAATTAACTATGCTCACAGAATTTATGAACATCCTATTATATGTACTTGATGAGATTTGTTGTAGAGGTTGAAGTCTACTTGTTTAGAGACTCTATATGTTGTAGGTTGACGGGACATCTGCCGAGGATGTATCCAAGCAGCTGTTACTGCACTGGTCATATATAACTGGGCAAATCCTTCTCCAACTGACCCTGGCAGCCTCCCAAACACTAGGTAACCAAAACTATATATAAATTATAAATTAACATTAATTTACATGTGCTATCGAGTATATTAATGAATCAATTCAGATAGCTGCATTCATGCACTTCAGTGAAGCGTAAAAAGGCATCTTGTAAGACTGTCTGTCAGCTATTTTATTTTAGCTTCAAACCTTAAGTTTATCAAACCTCAAACAGTATCATTCTCCAATGGCTGTAGTACATGGTAAGAAAAGTTTTACAGTAAATTTTACAGGAAGGTATGTGTGTTTTGGGGTTATTCTGTAAAACGTAAAAACATTGTTAAAGTTTGAATCCTCTGATTCCTCTGTTATTGACGGACGGTATCCAATTTCAAAAAAGAAAATAGGTTAATGCATTTTTAAATTTATACTGCATTTAAAGAGTCTTTGGAGAGTATTTTATGGGGGATGAAAATTGTATATGACACTGGATCATCTGTTTGATATGTCTACAATATTTTTTTCAGGATCCTTCCACTTACTTGATGTTTTGTTCAAGGATTATGCAGTATATTACCTTCATCATGTCCTTAGACTCTAAAGTGCAGTGCAATACCGCAGCCCTAGACTGGAGATACGATTACATGTATCATGCTGCCATTAACTCACTGAAACAGTTCTGATACCATTGGCGGATATCACCTGTGTAAATAATTATATTATCCATGTTTCTGGAGATATTAATCACATCACCAGGATCTCTAATATTCACATATCTCTGATGATGTCACCAGCTAATCCCATGCTATTACCTGTTTATTTTATTATATCACCTGTGTATCTGGCGATATCACCTCAGTATCTGATTAGATCACCTGTGTATCTGGCGATAACACCTCAGTATCTGATTTAATATCACCTAGGTATCTGGTTATATCACCTGGATATCTTGACCAATTTGTATTAAATTTCATAAGCTTAATGTCACAAAAGTCTAAGCCTAAGTCAAAAAAAATGTTATCAAATTTGTGAAAAAAAATATTAATTTCTTCATATTTTTTTCAACTTTGGTCATTTGGAATCCTAAATGAATGTAAACTGAATAATCAGCTAATCGAACTTCATCTCTATTTATGATTTAGCTGATGATTTATTTATACAACCTAGTCTCTTATCTATACTATTTTATCATTTGATACACAGAACCTCAGACTTACACCCTTTTGATGATATAAATAATATACGTGACGTGTTTCCTTTCTTTAATGAGATACATGGATAGTGCTCCTCAGAATCTTTTTCTAGTCAATTTTGAAGGATCTATATAGGATTATTTTTTTATTTATTTTTTTAAAATGTTTTAGGCTTAATGTTTTTGTTTTCTGTCAAACCTCATATAGTGACGTATAAGGAGCCAGGTCCACGCTAGGACTGTATCAATTAGGCAGACTAAGTGTTTTAGCATTGGCTTCTTTGTATTTTTTACACTATTATTTCTAGTATTTACAAAGGAAATGACAAAAAATATTTTTATGAAAATTTACTGTGAAAACAGGTGACAGTTTGCGTGAGAGTTTTTCAAGCTAAATTGAGATGAGAGTAATGAGTGTGGAGTGTTTGAAAGGATACAGATAAGCAATATATATGTCCATTGATTGAATCATTTTAATAGCAAAATACTTAAAGCAGAAGTGCAGTCATTTACAATTCTTTACATTACTTTTATAGTATACAAACTGATACCGGTAAGTTTATTATATTTCAAAGTGATTTATACAGTATATTATACAAATATATAATTCTATACAAAGTGATACATTTATTATACAACTACATAAATAAAAATGGATAAATTTATTATACAACTACATATAAAAATGGATACATTTATTATACAAACCGATTTTTGTTAGTTAACGAAATGATTTTGATATTAAAACAAATTGCTTTCAATGAAGAATAAAATACTATTTAATTGCATTGATGTTGTAAACTTTTTTTTCTAGGTACCTCTATCATGACTTAATTGACTTGTTGTGTGCCGTTTACATATCAGTCCCCAAGGTCAAAGTATGCTCATTGGTCAAATAAATTACTTTGATTTACTTGCAGAGGAACAGGGGGGGGGGGGGGGAATGTTATTCATTCCAAATGACTTATTCTACGCAGAATTATGTATTGGGTTAACGGTTATGAAATGTCACCTTCAAGGTCATAGGTTCAGTTCTAAAAATGCACAATAGCAAAAAAAAAAAATTAGGAGAATACCGAACTGTTAGTAAATCCCTCAAACTCAAAATTTCTTAAACTATGGCAAAATATGAGCAAAGAAAATATATACATTGTGCCCTCGAAAAAGTACAAGGAGAATAGGACCAGGTGTTACGGAAGGGTTAACGTCTTCTTCTTCATCGACGACACCCGCCATCTAAATATAAGTAAAATCCAAGCATTTGGGTAGTTCCCTATGATCTTTGGAAACCCTGTGTTGTAAGTTTGTCTGGCAGCAGTCGACTTCTATCGTGAAGTCATTTTACTCGGAGCTCTTGAATACTGAATAAACTGACATGTAAACTCAGTAGGTAGGCGAAGTCAGGATGCTGGTTTCAAGAAAGGGGAAGTTCACGATCGGAAAGTCGAAATCATCCTGTTCATCTTAAAGCTTACAAAATGTAGTAGTAAGCCGTCCCTGTTGGTCATGTTGTAAGTAAAGATTGAGGAAAGCGGCTGTAGTGCCCTTGATTTAAAGATCTGAAGGTTATATGCGTTTGGTGGGTTCGTTTTATTTTAACGACAGCACATCGTCAATACAAGATACAACAAGATACAAGATACAGGAAACTTTATTTAACGTTGCATACAGGTAAACAAGGAACATTAGCTCTTGAGAGCTATTATTGCGACAAACATGTAAAATAACAATAACATATTATATTAGAAGTAAAGGGAGATAATCACATATATTAATAAAACAAGAGGCACGAGAGGGCATGTATCGCTCACCTGAATAATTTAAGCAGTCATAGCAAATATTCTCATTAACCATTATATTGTACTACAAATTTGTCACTCGCAAACTGTGTAGGCTCCATCTATTGAACCTACCAGTCAAATACTATTATAAGATTTATGCTTTTTGGCCATTGTTCTTCTTCAAAAGTTGTTTGACATATTTTTCCCTGTGTGTCAATTCATTTTCCTTCTCAAACTTTTATAGCTCTATCCCAAGAAGCCAAATGTACCAGTCAAATCTTATGAATCCATTCCTTTTGGTTCTTCAGAACAAATCCTTTGAAATGTTGTTGACCTCTGTGACATTTAAAGTAGGTTGAGGTCATTCTAATTTGCAAACTTTGGTGATCTCTATTCCAAGAAGCCACTAGCCAAATATTATAATTTCAGGCCTTTCGATTTTTGAGAAGAAGTCGCTTGATGTTTTTGACATATTTGACATCTGTGACCTTGAAGAAGGTCAAAGTCATTTTCATTCTCAAACTTTGTCGGGCTCTTTCTCAGGAAGTCACAAGGAAAAAATGAAGGTTCTACACCTTTTAGTTGTTGTTCAGAAGTCGTTTAAAATGTTTGACATATTTGACCATTGTGACCTTGAAGATAGGTCAAGGTCATTTTTATTCTCAAACTTTGTCGGGCTCTATCCAAGGAAGCCACCAGCCAATTTTGAAGATATTACACCTTTTAGTTCTTCAGAAGAAGTCATTTGAAGTGTTTGACATATTTGACTGCTGTGACTTTGAAAGCCGGTCAAGGTCATTTTCATTCTCAAACTTTGTTGAGCTCTATCCCAGGAAGCCACCAGTCAAATAAAAAAAAAATCTATACCATTTGGTTCTACAGAAGAAGTCGTTTAAAGAGTTTGACATATTTGACCCCTGTGACCTTGAAAGCAGGTCAAGGTCATTTTCATGCTCAAACTTTGTTGGGCTCTATCCCAGAAAGCCTCCAGCCAAATATAAAGGTTGTATACCTTTTGGTTCTTCAGAAGAAGTCGTTTGAAGCGTTTGACATATTTGACACCTGTGACCTTGAAAGCAGGTCAAGGTCATTTTCATGCTCAAACTTTGTTGGGGTCTATCCCAGAAAGCCTCCAGCCAAATATAAAGGCTGTATACCTTTTGGTTCTTCAGAAGAAGTCGTTTGAAGGGTTTGACATATTTGACCCCTGTGACCTTGAAAATAGGTCAAGGTCATTTTCATTCTCAACCTTTAATTTGTTGGGCTCTATCCCAGGAAGACACCAGCCAAATACAAAGATTCTATACCTTTTGGTTCTTCAGAAGAAGTCGTTTAAAGAGTTTGACATATTTGACCCCTGTGACCTTGAAAGTAGGTAAAGGTCATTTTCATTCGCAAACTTTGTTGGGCTCCTACCAAGGAAGCTTTTAGTCAAATAGCATGGCTTCAGAAGAAGAAGGAGTCCCCTACCTACAAAGGCCCCCGGGATATATATATAAAAATAGTGTTAATATATGAAAAGCATTAAATGTGATCACAGATAAGTTGTATTCAGAATAAGTAAATAAAAGACATAGTTAATAGTGAATGAATACTTGTATATCACACAAGAATTACTTAGGACTTAGGATTAAAACACTGAAGTGGAATATACATACAATGCTAAAATAACAAAGAATAAAAATTGACAGAATATACACTATTATAGTGAGAATTAAAAATGATACCAAAATCAATTAACAAATTTATCAAGTTTTGTAAAGATTTATATTTTAGAATATATGGAATTAAAACATAGATAGGATGCTGCAAAAATATGGTATAGAATTAAATCATATAAGAAATGAAATAAGACAATAAAAGTATCACACAATTCAAAATGTATGGTGGCAGAGGTAACCAGGGCACAGTATGAAGTATCACTCTTTGCAGATATTGCAAAGGTAGATGGGACCAGCCTCCTGAATTCTTTCAACTTTTCTGAAGTCATTTGGGAGATTGTTCCACACCCGGGCGGCCTCAAAAGCAAACGATTTATGTCCATACTTCACAGTGTTGACCCTGGACACCTATGCAGTATTTTCTTTCCGGAAGTCATAATTAGACATCTTATTATTTACAAGATTATGAATATATTCAGGAGAAATTTTGTTTATAATTTTAAAAACCTCACAACCCATTTCCTTCAGACGCCTTACATGAAGGCTGTCGCTGTTGGTAATACTGAGTAAGTGTCTGAAGGATGAGTTGTGATCATTATGTATAAACCTTAAAGCTCTTTCTTGTATCTTTTCTAGCCTTCTGACACTCTTCATGGAACAAGAGTGCCAGACTAAAGGACAGTAGTTAAAATTTGAAGCAATAAAAGAATTATAAATTACAAGTCTACCTTGCTTGGTTAAAAAAAAAATCCCAATTCGCTTTAAAATGGACAACTGTCTTGAGGCTTTCCTACAAATTGCAGAGATATGAGCTTCAAAGTTTAAAAATTAATCAAAGTTCACACCTAAAAGTTTGACAACACTGTCAGGAACAATATCTTTTTCGCCAATACTAAAAGACTGTATAGCATTTACCCAACGTTTCCCTATACAAACGGCCTGGAACTTATCAGAGTTTGCTTTCATCTGGTTTAATTAAAACCATTCTATTAAATTTTGACAGTCGATATATCTTAATCTGAAAGCGAAGGGCTTGGCTTGGTTATTTTTACAGATCATCACAAAAATCAGCCTCATGAATCATATAATAATGATTTAAGGCAACTGTGGATAGTTTGATTTAGCCATTGTTATCCTTGGAAAAAGTTTTCTAAACCAACTAAAGATCGTGAAATAACGAATCGTTAAACACAAAGAACAAGGTTGAGAGATATTTTAAATTTGGGAAATAAATTCGAAAGACTTCTTTTAAAAAGACACAACAAATATGGCGACCTATCAAAAAGGAGCAAAAGTTGTTTGGGATCATTAGAGTATAATTCACAAGTTTGAGAAAGTGAATATATATAAATATAAACTTTATTTATTTTACAACAATTATGAAACAAGTTATTACAACTTATATTAATCCGTCTTGTTGGCTCGGATGTTAGCGTGCGGGGGGTCGTTATGTAGGAGGAGACCAGAGTACCCGAAGAAAAACCCACGTAGTCGGGCAGGTGACCCCTTTTTACATCCGATCGGGGAATCGAATCCCGGCCGCCTTGGTAAAAGGCGAGTGCGTTATCCACTGCGCCACTCGACCACCCTAATGATGTATGAATGTCCTGTTGTTAACTAATAAGCAATCGAACGGACAGGTGTCGACTTAAGAAAATGAAAATCGGGATATATCGGTGACTATCTATTGTAGTTTGAATAAATGAAGACATTTAAGGATGTACAACTCTGAGAAGTCAAAATATTCCTGTATTAAACTTTTTTTTCTTATATGGATTTTTGGAAAAAGGAGTTAATGGCATAGTATAAAATGTAAAAAAAAACATTATATGTCGGTGTGTTCGTTTTTGTGCTATGATCAGTCAAAGATACCAGTTTAACATAACATGTGATTTTAGGTGATTTTGGGGGTTTTGACCATTTGCAGAACACATTCATACAATTTCTTCCAAGTGTGTTATCAGATATGTATGAATGTTTGTAGAATTGATGAATATATTATTTTCTTTCAAATTATGGAAGTTATTCTTTGATGAAAAAATACTTATTTTTTGCAGATTAAACGCTTGATATAAAAAAGTTCTGCTATTAAACTTTTTTTTAATATTCAATGAATTAAAAGAAAATGTGTTTCTCTTTCGAAAACATCCACAAAAATGGGGGGTCCGTGTGCTTCTTTTTTTGTCCCATTATTATTTGTGTTATTTTTTACTTTTTTCGGGGTCAAAAATCGAAAGTGCTTCAGTTACACTAAATAGGTAAAAATAATATCAATAATGTATAATTTTCCAGTTTGTTGCATAATATTTTATCATATTAAACATTATTAAATTGTACAGCAAAATTGAACCTTCTACAATTAAAAATGGCGACACAATGACAATTTAAGTGATCAATCTAGTGTCAAAAAAGGTGAAATTTTGGCCTTTTTTAAGCGCAAGAAATATACATTAATACACAATTTCAAAATGGCCGCCCAATAGGTATTTTTTAGCCCACCATCATCTGATGGTGGGCTATTTAAATCACCCTGCGTCCGTGGTCCGTCGTCCGTCCGTCTGTCGTCTGTCGTCCGTCGTCCGTCCTTAAACAATTCTTGTTATCGGTATTTCTCAAGAAGTTCCAAAGGTATCTTTCTCAATTTTATATGTAGGTTCCCCTTGGTCCTGAGCTGTGCAGGGCAACTTTTAAGACTGATCGGATAAAAAACAAGGCCGACAGGCAGCCATCTAGGATTTTGATAGTGAAAGTTTGTTCTCGCTATGTCTCGAGTAGTGCCAGAGGGATCTTTTTCAAACTTGATATGTAGGGTCCCCTTGGTCCTGAGTTGTGCAGGGCAACTTTTAAGACTGATCGGATAAAGAACATGGCCGACCGGCAGCCATCTTGGATTTGATAGTGAAAGTTTGTTATCGCTATGTCTCGAGTAGTGCCTGAGGGATCTTTTTCAAACTTGATATGTAGGTTCCCCTTGGTCCTGAGCTGTGCAGGGCAATTTTTGAGACTGATCGGATAAATAACATGGCCGACAGGCAGCCATCTTGGATTTTGATAGCGAAAGTTTGTTATCGCTATTTCCCGGTAAGTACCAGAGGGATCTTTCACAAATTTGATATGTAGGTTCCCTTGTTCCCTTGTTGTGTAGCAGTGCCTGAAATGGATGGTCGCCTGCTCGCCAATGGCGGTTAAAGTCTTGCTCGAGCGACCAAAAGTTGTCAAAAGTGAGGTAGTCACTGGCCTAACAAAAATAGTTTGGGCGACTGTCAAAAGATTAATGAATAAAAGAAAGTACAGTCCCTTCCACATTAATTACGGGGGCAGTAAAAATTTCAGTTGTCATTACTTCGATTTGAATCGAACTGTCCGTGATTTAGAAAATGTGATTTTCTCTATAAATACTGCCAGGGTATCTTCTTTGAGGTGCGAGTTTTGTGTATTTCTTTTTGGGAAGACCTGAATGGAGTGGATCATGTCAGGTTTTAACTAGGGTTGAAGAATTAAAAATATAATGTTTTATTCTGTTTTGCATATTACAAACATTGTCATGTTATATGTAATTTAAATGTGCTGAAGCATTGTGTTAAATGCTGTGGAAATATTTCTTCCCAAAATTATTTGGGCCACCAGTATGTCATTTGGGCCAGTGTTTCAAATTTTTTACTCGCCCCAAAAAAATATTTTGGGCCAGCCAATGAAGGTTCCCCACTATCCTTTATTGTTCATGTTTACTTTTGAAACTGATCAGTTAAACTAAATGGCCTACCGACAGCCATCTTTGATTTTTGACATTTAAGGTTTGTTAGTACTATTTCTCAGGAATAACTTAAGGGATCTATGACAGATGAAAAATGGTAGTGAGTAAGATCAGAGGAGTAAGAAGAAGGCAATTAAAAAGAGATTGTAATTGATAACAAAGGAGATGACCAGGACACACATGGTGGTAGGAACTCAAAGGGAATGGAGTGTGTGGGAATGTCTGTGTGAAGGGTCGGAGGACAATGGTGTGTGGATGTAAGGTCTATTTAGTATAATGCATTGATAAGTTAATCGTGGTCCTTAGACAAGGAAATGGTCATCAAAAGACTTATAAAAGAGAAACTTAGCACCGCCTCCTAGGGATGGAATTAGCCAATAGAATTAGAAGATTTAGTTAAGTAGAAGTAGTGTTAGATTGTCTTTATAATAGGTAGATGTCTAAGGAAAGTCAGAGTAGAAGGAGAGAGCTGAAGGAGGGAGTCAAAGGACAGAGTCAGAGATAGACAGAGATAGAATTAAAGGAGAAAGAATGGAGTTGGAAACAGAAGGGAATGGATTGAACAATTAATAAGTTTCCATGTATAAGATATGAAGTTGGACTTAAATAAAGGAAGTGGAACTGACATAATGTGTCATCATTTGTAACCTTAAGTTTAGATCAAAAGTTACCTCAAGGTGCATTTACTGTTAACATGACTCGGTCAAACAGATTAGAGGAAAGAAAAGAAAAGATCGAACTGACAAAGAACTAATGAAGATGGTACAATGGTGAGCGCCAAGATCCCTCTGGGATCTCTTGTTTTAAATTCTTGTTAAATAAGTTCTACGAACAACAGGCATCTAGTTTTTTGACATATTTTTCAGATGATCATAATTTGCTAAATATTACAAAAACCCGTTACACCAGATCAAAACGAGAATTGAACGTGATTGAAACCTCAGAAGAGTACATCCTCAAGACATTTTAATTTTGTATCATATATGACTCAATAAATCACGTAATTTCTACATGTGCTTTATTCCACATAGTTCACTTCAAAATTTTGATAGGTTGTCTGTCGATCGATCAGAAAATTACCATATAGGCCTACATGTATATTCCAGTGAACGTGCACATCTGCTTTCAACACAAAACCGTCGCCGTTACGCCTTATCTTGGAGTCGTATATAGCTGATATGGCAAAAGTTGCTCCACTACCGACCACAGAGAAATGACAATGATACTTCTGTTATGTCTGACTGTGCTTCTGGTCTCCGGTCCCCGGTGTACCGAGTCTGTCGAGAAAAGGATCCTGTTGAGTGACCCTCAGTACATACAACAGGAGCTGACAAGGTTCCAGTCAGAGTTACAGGAACTACAGGTCTGTAGGGTAGTAAGAGGGGCGGTAATCTTGGAAATATCGCTACTTAATTGTTCTAATACTGAATTCTACAAACATGTACATACAACTATCTCTCACATCAACCATTTGCTTATATACATACATTTGTAAGTAACTCTTTTCCAAGCTTGGAAAAGAGTGACTTACAAGTTCATTAATATTATTGCGTTCCCTATAGGAACATATGTTTAGACAATTAGTATATACATATATATTATGTACATAAACGTTCTAAAATCAATTAATCAGCCGCTTTCCGCGATCTTTACTTACAAAATGACCAACAGGGACAGCTTACTGTATGATAAGCGGGACGCTTTCTACTTTTAAATCGTGAACACAACCTACGGTGTTTTCCGAATGACACGACCTCCGTGATAGCTGTCGATTGCTGACAGACAAACTTAAAACACAGGGTTTCCATAGAGTCAGGTCGATGAAGAATATGAACATGTTTTATAGCCGTCATTAGGATATCCCATACACAGTGAAATATATTATTTATTTGTGGGAAATGAAGTTCGATGTTTTTTAATATGCTCATTAGAGTGTTTTGAAAGTGATTTTGTTGTCACTACATGAGTTTTCGATGTGGGGACGAGACATTACTTGTATTCCACTTAGATTTACATGGCGTTCTTATTCTCCTTATATCGTCCAAGGACATGTCAGCAAAGCTTGTTTCCAATTCCTCATCCTGGTTGTCCTGTGACAGTACAGGTCAATATTAAGAACATAGGAACCACTTTCATCAGCGACTAATGAGAATATACTTAATGGATAATTTGGGGGAATGATATTACAATTATGCGTCTGCAAACTACTTTTTTCCTGAGCATGAAAAAAAAGAGCATGCTCTGAGAACACACCTTCTACTTGTTTTGGCAGCCGCCATCTTTTAAACAGTCCCAATTTATTTCAATATACAGGCTACACTACAGTACTAAAGACTGAGCCTAAATTCGAAGTTGAGCAAATTTCGCACATATTTCATTAGCGTACTGATTGGTCAATTTTCAAACTTTAGTTTCTGCAATATAACTGGATTCTGATACTTGGTGGATATTTACACTTGGTCTAATAGCGAAATCTGCCAGTAATTAGTGAACAATAGAAATATATTTAGTGTGAATGGTGTAAAATGAATCGATTATTGGCGAAAAAGGGGCAATTTAAATTTCTTTTTTTATGGTTTGAAATATATATACAAAGGCCGGAGACATTCAGTTGATAATAATACCTTTTAAAGGTCGTAAATTATATATATTCCTTCAGCTTAAGTACAAATGTTGTTTCTCCTCACATTACTACATTTTCATACATTCAGATACAATGATGCATCGGAAGGATTTTAATTTTGCCAGGTTGGCTTTGGACGGGCGTATTATATTGTTCCTCCCTACGGTACTCTTGGTAGATTCGGTATCCCCTAACTTTGTAGACGAATCTCAATTCTCAAAAACATTCTTCACATTTTAGGTGAAGTTCAATACTCAGCACATGGAAAATGCTAATTTAAAGAGTACAGTTACTCAGCTCCACACCACAGTGGATCAGCTCAAGACCACCGTTCTAACACTGAATATCACCAACAGCAAACTTCAGAATACCGTGGGTCAGTTGCAGAATAACAGAAGGTCCGCGGTGTTTACACGCTGGGGGCGGAGGGACTGCCCTGCAAACATCACGTCACTGGTCTACACTGGGTACGCCGGGGGTTCCATGTACACAGACACGGGGGCAGCGGCTGAGTATCTGTGTATGCCTTCTGATCCTATATGGGGCCCACACAAGGACCTTGCTTACGATGGCATTTGGGTCGGTTACGTCTACGGGTCTGAGTATGAAGATGGTTATTTTGGCATTGGGGATAGTCTGCATGACGTACCATGTGCCGTGTGTGTCGGTAATCAGCACACCGCCTCCCTCATGATTCCCGGGCGGACCCAGTGTTACCCTGGCTGGACTGAGGCTTATCACGGGGATCTGTCCTCAGGTGCGTACACTGCGGTTTCAGCCACTCAGTACGTATGTGTGGACCAGCATCCACAGGCCCTGGAGGGTGGCGCAGACAAAAACGAGGACGGGAAACTTTTCTACGGCGTCAAATCAAAATGTGGACCACTTCACTGTCCACCATACGAGGACAATAAATTTCTCTCGTGTGTTGTTTGTTTAAAGTAAAACGTTTTTTAGAATTTGATACCTAGTGTTTTAAAAATTAACTAGACCTAGGAATAATGACCTATAAATCGAGTTGAAATTCATGCCTTGTTTTTCCTGTGTTAACTGTATATCTTTTGAAATCCTACAAAACGACGACTGCTAAACGTAAAAGAAAGGGAGTTCTAGTGTTTCTTTCATTTCCCTGCCACACGATATATATTACAACCCTGTTGGATAGTGTACATTCCCTCTAACACCTAGCGATCGATTTAATGTTTTGATACTCTGTCCTCGGTTATACGGATTGCTCTGATCCTCCAACGACTTTAAGTATTCCCCTCTGTCCTCAGATATAAAGAATGCTCTGATCCTCCTACGACTTTAAGTATTCCCCTCTGTCCTCAGATATACAGAATGCTCTGATCCTCCTACGACTTTAAGTATTCCCCTCTGTCCAATGGCATACTCCGATTTACCTCGACACAGAATACTAGTATAACAACTTATCCACACTGACATCGAGTATTCCATATGATTTATATATTGTCTCTGATCGCCTGTGACATGGAGCATTTCTACTACGTTGTAACTTCTGGTTCGCTGTCCCACTGTGCTCTGATTTTCCTATATATATAGATACAAATTAAAACTTGTTTTGATGTAATTTATGCAGTCAGACTTTCTATGCTTTTACATAACTACCTTTACTTGCGGAAGGAGGTATGTTGGGGTATGAGTGATGTGGTCCGATAGGTTACATGGTATGTATGTTGCTAAAATTAGATGACTATAAATACAAATGACGCAGCAGCTCCTAATCAGAATTTGATAAAAAAAATAAAAAAAATATGGCGGAACAAGGTTTGTACGGTCCAGGTTAATTTTATTTCAACTTGATTTTGTATTGTTTTATCTGAACACAGATTTTAGTATATATAAGATCAATTTTGCCCACCACCAACCCTACTTTCCTCCTTTCTTGTTAGAACTTTCTGAATGTGCATAACTTTATGTATTGTGTACAACATTTTTATGCGACTGTTAAGTAATGTATCAATGCTATATCATGTATTTTGTGTGTAAAAATAATGTATTATAACTAGCATTAATATTGCATCAAGTATATTGTGTATGGCGGAATAGGACCCCCATCTAAGACCTTTTGGGTCTATTTATATGACAAAATGTGAATGTCATAACAACCGTCGTTTATTGTAATAAACGGCCATATCCAATTCAGATTTTGTGTCCTTGTTTTATTTCATTATGTTTGTCTTACCAGCTTGCCATGGTGGATGTCCTGTATAATAACATTTAGCCCCACTAAGTTCAGCAGCCTTAAAGTTCAAAACCGCTCCTCGAGGAGATCTAGTAATAGCACTCTATCTTCTACCTCCTCTACTTCATCAGTACCTGTGAGAATTAACACCCTCAACCAGTACTGTCCATCAAAAACAGCAGAACATTCGGCACTTGTCATCAACCGTCAAGTATCAAAATAAAACATCAGAATTTTAGGCTGTATAAACGAAACCTGACCTCATCATTGGTAACAAGTCGTGGCTATCCCCAAAGCACACAAACAGCGAAATATTCACTGAATGACCTGACGAGTTCTAGAACTCGGTGTACAGAAAAGACAGAAACAAACACATATGGATGGGGAGTGTGCATAGCAGTCCGAGATGGATACATCTTAGGTGAAATTGTGAGTGATTCTAAAGGTGAAATAGTGTGCAATAATTCATATGAATGAAAACAAAACAGTTGTTATTGGTGCATTCTATCGACCACCAAATTCTAAATTGGAAACTCTAAATGACTTTGAAAATCTCTTGAAAACCTACCTTTGTATGTTTATAACAAAGTCCTTATTCTAGCAGGTGACTTCAATCTACCTTACGTGTATATTGACTGGGCGACCTTATCGTTGGCCGCCGGAAACAACCGATCAAACATCCGCCTAGAGATACTTCACATCATCAGTGACAACGGTCTCAAGCAAATGCAAGACCATCCTACACCCGAGGAAAACATCCTTTACTGATATCTCACAAAAATACCAAGCCTGGTAAAAACCTGTCAAACCATGTCAGGAATCTCTGACCACAGTACTCTACTGATTCAGACATTCAACCAAATTATAACACACGAAAAAGAAGAAAATTTAATCATTCAAAAAAACAAATGTGGGTAACAAGTCCAACTATGTGCTGAAATTGTAAGCAAAAGTAGAGAAAATGTTAGGTCGTTATGGGATAAACTCATAATTGACATCACGAAAATAATGTAAGATCACATACTAGTACCATCAGAAAGACATCAAGTCGGCGAAGCCCACTATGGCTAACCCAGATATTATCAAACCAAATGATGAAAAAAAATCCATCTATGCGAAAAAGCAAAGAAAACGGGATAGACAGAGGACTGGGATGAATACACATTATACAAACAAATACACAAAAAAGCAACAAGGAATGCACCCTGGAACTATGTGAACACTATCCTGGAAACATCACTAAAAACAGGGAATCGGAAACCTTTTTGGAAGTACCTACAGTCAAAACGTACAGACAATATAGGCGTATCACCGCTATAACATCACGGGGAACTACACCAGGGCAGTAAACCAAAGGCAGGACTGTTAAACCAACAATTCAAACCAACGTTTATAAAAGGAAATTAACAAGAGGAACTACCAATATGGAAGGTCCTCTGTACCCAAAAATAAGTAACATCAAAATCTCAGTAAGAGGCGTAGACAAACTACTTGCTGCACTGTACACAAACAAGGTAAGTGGACAGATGGGCTTCCAAACAAAATCCTGAAAGCATGTGCCAATAAACTAGCACCAGCGTTAAGCAACATAGTTCACTGAGGTTTAGACAAAGGAGAATTACTAACATCACCCCAATATTTCAAAAACGGAAACAAACATGAAACCGGAAATAACGGATCAATCTCTTTGACAAGCGTATGTTGCAAAACATTAGAGCATATCATTGTAAAACATACCATGAACCACATAGAGCAACACCACATACTTACCCCACTACAGCATGGTTTTAGGTCTCGCCATTCTTGTGAAACTAAACGTGTCGTCACCATGCATCATATCGTGAAATATTTGACAATAAAACTCAAACCGACCTCATCCTTTTGGAAATCAGTAAAGCTTTCGACACTGTCCCTCATAGAAAATTACTACATAAACTGGAACATTATGGAACCCAAGGAACTTTTCTTTCCTGGATAAAAGCGTTCCTGCCTGACCAAACAGCAAGGTCGTTTTCGTGTAAACGGTCAAACCGGTCGGACCACAGTTGTTCGTTTATTAAATAAGGTAGGACCTAGTAATCTGATGCTGCTTTTAGGCGAGCCTTGACAAAGACTTGCAAGGCCTGCATATACCTAAAATTGTTACATTTATAAACGGTAAAACCGGTTGTTCCGCATAAACGAACAGGCCCTATTCGAGGGCGCAACCTCGTCAACAGTTAGAGTAGACCCCGGCGTACCACAGGGCACAACACTAGGACCACTACTGTTTCTCCGTCACATAAACGACCTTCCATCTACAGATCAGTCCGCTTGTTACGAATGCATGCCTGCTGTACAGAAGCGTAAAATTGATCACTGATCAGATACAGCTACGTAAAGGACATCCAGTCACTACAGGAGCGGCCAGCTCAATGGAACTAAATGAATGCTATCTCGTGAGAATCCATCAATCTCGACAGCCGAAAGACTACTTTTACTCTATTGGGACACACATATTGGAACAAAATAACACAGCGCGTAGTTTGGCCTCCTGATCAGTGACAACCTTAGATTTGCATCACATATTATCATTATAGCAATATAATAATAAAAGGTCTATGTTGGTATGTACCACTTCATCACAACCTAGTTCGTATGCGTCTCATAGTGGTTCACACATCATTATCCGTGGTTATAGGGCCTTTGCAAACAGCCAATATCTGTCTCAACTCCCTGGAGAACAAACAGCCGGTGCTCACAGCTAGCACACGTAGTCATTTACAGCTGAGTTGACTGGAACGGGCGGAGTTAAGTATCTTGTTCAAAGATACAACACATTGCCGTGCCGTGACTGGAACCCGGCCGCAACCCTCCGGGCACGAGCCCGGCGTCCTACCACTACCGTGTCTCCTTGGCAAACAGAGCAAACTCTACATTAGGAGACGACGAAAATCAAAACGTCCACCCACCTTACCAGATTGCCTCTAAAACCTAGAACTCTAGCAACTAGAAACCCATGGATATTGATGTATAATCTACCAAATGAGTGGTGACTACTTAGGTTAATATGATCCCCGGTTATTTGAGTTTGCTAATTGTTTACAGATTTCAGGTTCACCGAGTGTCTTTTAACAAATCAAAAGTAACTGATAAATATTTTGTCATCATGATAACCAATTATACCGTTGAAACTAGTGCGAAAATATCATACAAAAAGATTTACATGAAGACTCCTGAAAACATACATACGAGTTCTAGAAGGATAAATATCTTTTTCTTCCCGGATAAAACACGCAGGTCAAAATCAAGTAAGTATATATGCGTCCCCAAAATATCATCAAAAGCATTGGCCGTAATATCCCATAAGGAAATATAATAATTCCCAATGAAATGTTGATAGCGACCAGAAAATTTGAAGTAATTTTCATCAATCTGCTTTCCACAAAACCTTTTATGGATCGCTAAGATCGAGTTCATCAATGTATTTCGTTTCATTTTGCCAGTGATTCGCTAAAATGAAAAATAATAAACTTCTTTGGTTTTAATGAAAAATATTATTTTGATATACATTTATGCAGATAAAGAATTTATATAATTTATAATAATGACTATCGGCGATTGTGGGGCTTTTCAAGAGATTTTATTATATTTTAATTGAAATGTCCAAGTGAATATCCCATTTATTTGTGTGATATGAAGGTTGATGTTATTTATCATGCTCATTAATGTGTCTTGTTGTTTTTGTCGTCACTACCCTGCTTCTCGCTATGAGGACGTTGTATTACTTGGATCCGACCTAGATTTAAATGGCGGGTGTCGTAGATAAAGCAGAATTGTTTGACCTCCTGGAACATGAAGGTCTTCATATAATTTGTATCCTTTATTGTTAATTGTGTTGATTTTGAGTCAGGATTACCTTTACTTTTCATTATTCTCTGTTTTCAAAAGCAATTAAGTGCATATTTCATTATATAAATTGTCTTTATATAAAAATATAGATAATTTTTCAAATGTATTCGTGATCGTCGCATAAGCGTTTAAATCGTTTTCAACCTTTTCCGCTTTACATTGTATGTGAAGCTCAATACTCAACAGCAGGAAAACGACAATTGAAAAGGTAGGGTTACTCAGCTACAGAACACGGCTCTAATACAAAATATCACCGACAATCAACACCAGGATACCATAAGTCAGCTACAGAACACGGCTCTAATACAAAATATCACCGACAATCAACACCAGGATACCATAAGTCAGCTACAGAACACGGCTCTAATACAAAATATCACCGACAATCAACACCAGGATACCATAAGTCAGCTACAGAACACGGCTCTAATACAAAATATCACCGACAATCAACACCAGGATACCATAAGTCAGCTACAGAACACGGCTCTAATACAAAATATCACCGACAATCAACACCAGGATACGATAAGCCGGCTCCAGACCACACTCCAAGCACAAACTTTGATCAACAATCAGCTTCGTCAGCTGCAGGCCAACAGGGGATCCGCGGTGTTTACACGTTGGGGGCGAAGGGACTGCCCCGCTAACATAACGTCCTTTGTCTATACGGGATATGCCGGAGGTTCCTTGTACACGGACACGGGGGCAGCGGCCGAGTACCTGTGTATGCCCTCTGATCCTATATGGGGCCCACATAAGGACCTTGTCTACGATGGTCCCTGGGTTGGTTATGTATATGGCGCCGAGTATGAAGATGCTGGTGTGGGTGTTTTTGGCATGATGGATAGTATGCATGACGTACCTTGTGTCGTGTGTGTTGTTAACCAGTTTACCTCCTCCCTCATGTTTCCCGGGCGTACCCAGTGTTACCCTGGCTGGGCTGAGGCTTACCATGGGGACCTGTCGTCCGGAGCTCATTCTGCGGCCGCAGCCACTCAGTATGTATGTGTGGACCAGCATCCACAGGCCCTCGAAGGGGGAGGAAACAAGGACGAGAATCGGAAACTCTTCTACGGCGTTAAATCGAAATGTGGACCCCTTCACTGTCCACCTTACGAGGACAATAATTATCTCTCGTGTGTGGTTTGCTTGAAGTAAACCTTTTTCGGGGATGGAATCTGGTCTACATATAACTAACCAATAAATCACGTTGAGATGCACGTCTTGTTCTTCCTGTCTTGAGTGTTTATTTTGTATTTGTTCATTATCAACCTGTGTTAGACTCGGACGAGACGCACGGAGTTTCATCCTCTTTGATCCCCTGATCTGATAACTAAACGTATGTGAAATGACTCAAATAAGTTACTCTCTGACGCTTATTACTAAGATTGTTCTCATCTACTGCGACAAGTTGTATTTCCTATTTTATAGACGTTAGGGATGAATTCACGTTTATCCTGACGGGGAACCTTGTTGAATTCCGGATTTTGAAGATTTTCTAAAGCACTGCATTTAGGTGTCTTTATTTTCAATATACCGACTACACAGATGTGGTAGAGGTTTGGTATCCTTGTTACAATTTACATACAGGGAGTTATATAAACAAGGTGACCAACCTCCACTCCTCAGAAACCTCTGGTTTTCAACGGATTCTGTTTTACTTCGGGCTATTTGAAAGTTTTTAAGTCAATGAATGAAACTTTGCAGCAGAAAATATTTTAACTGTTGTCAACCCGAACAACTAATTGACGGTGACCATTTCATTTTCAATGACGCTTTAATGATACTACAGGTTCTGTCCACTGAAGTAAAGAACCCTTTATCACTTCCAACAGTGCAGCTAATAATAATATAAAGAGTATCCACACACTAGCTATAAGGAACCTCTCAGTGTTCCATCGATGTATGTGGCACGTGTTACGGAGTATCTGGGAGGAACATGGTCATACACACGAACGCTCACAGTATCTTAATGTGTTTCAGTTCCGAGTATTCTTCAACTCATGATTTATGGACATCGTATGCCATAAAATGAACAAACAAGAGGTGATTTGACAAAAGCATCGATGGGTTTATTGCATACGGTTTAACATAGTATGACATTGGCAGAGTATGGTTTCAATCTACTTATCTACAGATTATAACACATCTTAAATAATGACTTAATTGTATGTGATCGAGGAATATCCTTCTAAGAAATATTGCAAGTACATGTAAATTGCAGGTTACAAATATTTCGTATTTTTGTCTTTGCTGGACAATGATTTTGGACAAAAACATCAGATAAACATATACAATTTGACGGGTAGCATACTATAGAAAGGGCCTGGTCTTACAGTTTGACGAAAAACAAACCTTGGCAATGTAAACGTAATCTGGAATAAGAGGACAATATAAGGTAGATGCATATTTGATCAGATTTCTATTCAGAAGTACGATTTCTTGAGATTGAATCAGCTCTCACCATACAGCAACTATTGCCAAAGACTATTTCAAAGATAGCTGAAGAGTCCAGGTTCTAGAAATAATATTATGCGTAAAAACGCCAATGGCGATACTTGGTACAAGTCAAAAAGTGCTTACAGTACCAGTAACATCATATACATGTAAACCTATTTTGTATGGACCAGTCTGATACATCTACATATATCTTCCACAAACTGGTAAATAATTAAATTGTACATGATGATGATTGCAATCAAATATAAGACACGTTTTAACAGACATTTATCCGTATCACTATACTTCACTTACCGGGGAAGCACTCCCGAGTTGTTACAACGTTGTCCCATATAGGATTCCCCTTACTATTTATATTGTTATGTATAACTTAAACAATGAGGAACCTCTTAGAGGTCAAAGTCTTGGGGGCAGTATCACTGTCTTGGTGCTGAATATACTACATAAATGTAGCTGTTTATACCGGGATAGGAAATATATTATTAATACCTAGCGGACTGACCCAGTGGTGATATGCTGTGTACCAAACTCTGAAAGTGACACAACACACAACAGTGTCAATCTGCTACATGTAGTCGGCTACCATGAATCACTTTTATACAAGTAAAAATAATGATTAAATATAACAATGATTAATTACAAATCAATAATCAGAAGGGTTCATGTCACCTTTATTTTATGTCGTTTTCCTCACTTTTTTTGCATTGCTTGGGGAGGCAATACATTCATGGTTTCAGTTATAGGGGGCTACTGGGATTGAATTGAAATCTTGTTATAAAAATGTACTTCCTAGCATTATGTATGATTTTGCTCGACTCCAATATTTACAAAAACATGATTGGAAGTTTTTCTCAGTCTATCTATCATGACAATCTGTAATTGATGATCATTACTGATTGGCCAATTAGTCAACATCATCAGAACAACCCAGTTTGGTTAAAGTAGATGATCTCATCAATCAAACTACAGGAATGTCTGGTGCAGTGGTTAAACACATATTTACCTTTAAATAATTTCAAAAGCGGTCACAAGAAAGACTGCAATCACATTGACACATAACATAACAAAAATATTCAAAATTTCTGCATCAAAATACGTAACCTAGGTCAATGATTTTTTCCCAACTACCGACCCAGCACCTCTGATTAACTAATCTTACATTGTATTGAGTAACTGAAGAGAAAATCTCCACCAGGGTGACACATATCCAACTTGTAATATTTCCCTTTTCTCTGCATTGACACTATATAACCTTACCAAACAAAATAGAAAGATATCAGATCATAATTCTCACATAATGCCATGGGTGTAGTGATATGAAGGACGTGTCCGTGACGACATGAAGAACTGTTTTGACCGATGATCAATGTAACTCGCAACAATTTATGTAGTTATGTTGTATAGAAGTTGAATATCCTCACGATAGAATATGTTGATTAAATTGTTTATTTTTTGTTTATTTCACAAACTATATGTTGTTGCCAGGAACGATTGCGTGTACTCGTGACGTCACAAGAACAAGTACCATTGACACACAGCGCGAAATTTGACTTTGAAATGTGATAACAGGTTGGAAAATAGAAGAAAAACTTAAATTTAAAAAAATGTGTGTTATTCAATTTGTCTTCAATCCTGTGAGAATTATACGACAATAACTTTCAAAAGAAGGCAGTTTAATGCTTAATAATTGTTAACAATTTGTACAAATTATATGATTCAATAATATCACAAATTGCTGCTCCCTCATACACATTGCAAAAAATGGGGAAAAATCCATACTAAATCAAAATGAACCAGGATTTGATTGGGAATTAAAACGTTTTAATACAGTAGTATTTTAAATGTGTCGTTCTTATAATTTGTTCTTTCTGTTTCCTTATGATAATTGCATTATCAGTATGAACTGTAGATATCCCACTAAATGTAATTTGTAACTATGTTTTGCGGGAGTTATGTCTTTTATCCCACTGAATGTAATTTGTAACTATGTTTTCCGGGAGTTATGTCGTTCCAACAGATAAGACTCTGTATGAAGATGGGTAATCTATACTGGTAAAGTCATACAAAATATTACTAATACATGTATGAGCAATCAGGTAAATTCACTCCTGATGCTATCCTGAAATAACTTTCCAGCAACTTTGCACTGAGATAAGATACAAAATATCTTAGTTGCAAAACATGGTAATATCAAATAGCAATGCTTAATAAGACGACACAATGTAATATACTTTGTGTTTAATTTAAGAAAAGCGTGTATTTTGGTACATACACTAGTATGGTAATGTATATATATTAACTGAATGCAATCTAAATAAAATGTTACCATCTTTCCAACTTTACATCTAAATTACAATTGTGAATGGAAGTGTTAAAATGGTAGCTATGTTATTTTCACCAACACCTTATTATTGTGGTAATTTTCTGACAGAACTAGACATGCACTGCACTACCCACAACAACAATCATGTTCATGTGTACCATTAAATATAAGACAGCTATTATAACATTATAATTGCCCTTGTCAATATTAAAAATAATGCTACTTGCTACTGTGACAATACAACAAAGACATATATAGTAAGTGTTAAATTTCACAAGCACTATTATAATGAATATGTCAAATAACAGTTTTTTTTAAATTTCTAACTTAACCCTTTCACCACTGTAGATCATAATGGACTAACCCAGATCATGCAATGCATGGTAGAGTTAACTAAAGTTACATAACGGTGAAAGGGTTAAGTACTGTCCATTGACTCATCTATTATATGACTGATAAAATAAGTCCTAAATGAAAGACTGCTGTACGAAACAGAGCTTTGGCAATGATTTCATCAATCTTTATAAATATTTCACAAATTTCAGTTATTCTTGAAACAGGTCATCAAGTTCTTCATATATTCATGAGAAACATGATTCCACTCACAATCTGGATTTATATACGTTGTGTGACATCACAGTATCACCTTAATGTCTATAACGTCACATTTTAATCTAACATCACAGGCGGTGATACACATGGTACGTATGAGGCGATACACAAAATTAGGGCTGGTTGTTTACACTGTATAATGAAGTAGTCTTGTGATAAATACATAACATACACTTGTGATCTAACATAAAAGCCACACACAATAATGTTCACCAGGGCCTGCTTGTTTAAGGCCCATTCAGATTACAATTTACAGATTACAAATTAATCTCAAACATTTTGAAAAATATTGAAGTTGAAAACTAAAACTAGACGTATAGAGATGAGATTCAAACTTATTATCTGGATTCAAAATAACATGTAAATTTTCACAGCTATCCAGAATCTAAATTACAGAAGTATATGTAAATTTTCACAGCTATCCAGAATCTAAATTACTGAAGAATATGTAAATTTTCATATCTTTCTTATTTAAAAGCAGCAGTTTGAAAATATGTTTCACTACTTGTTAACTCATTCACCCCTGAAGACACATTTGAACTCTTCCAATTCAATGGTTGGAATATTTCATTGTGAAATTTCAGGGGTGAATTAATGTGTTAATTAGCTAACGATGATTTCAACAATTTGGTCCACCAAGAATCAGTTGTTATCAGCTTACCAAAAATTTAATCAAACATTTCTTATCAAGTAAAATTTAAAAAATATTGCATGGCTGCCAACCAAAGAATACTATTTCTTATCCATATATGTTTTAGATTGAATTTCGAACCCAAGCATATATGGATTTGAAATAGTATTCCTAAGAAAAAAAGACACCAATTATTATGTTTCTTTTTCAGCAGTAATTCTCAAACAGTTTGTTTTTAAAAATTGTGTTAAAGACTCTTTAACTCTTTAACCTTTGAAGACACACATTTGAACTCTTCCAATTCAAAGGTTAGAATAGTCCATTATGAAATTTCAGGGGTGACAGAGTTAAGCTGCTTAATTAGACGATGATTAACCAGGCCAGCTTTCCTTTCACACCTGATAGTATTACCTGTAATGACAACTATTATTGGGTCAATCTTTATCTCTATTTTCTTTACCTGTCCTGATATTTATATATTTTTGGGTATATTTTATGAAAGAATTATCTCTTTATTATCAATCTCATTATGTGATAGACAATAAGAAAACTCTTCAACCTAAAAAAACCCCATAAAACAGTAATGAACTTCTTTAAACATATTAATATAAATTTCCTAATGTGATGGATATTTTTTGGCAAAATATTATTTCACGTGAATCACTGAATTTCTGATGTTTTTCGGTTAAACTGGTAAATATAAATGAATTTTTGAACAACTGCTGATGTGTATCTTGTAACTAACCAGTGATCATTTTTAACGGCTATTAAACACCCCATTGAACAAGTTACCACAGGTAAAATATAGCAAGACACTGGAATATTACAGAAACAAATGTATTTTATTGACATAATGTAGAGAGTCCAACTACTCTGTTTTGTATCTCCAATGAAGGAGAGTTCCTATTTGTGTGGCATTTTTGACTTGAAATTGCTTGCCAATTCACAATAACAATGGGTTAAAAATGAAAGAAAGACTTATTGTATTTTTTTTATAGAAACACATTAAGCAGGTTTACGTAGCATATCCAGTGGACCGTGAAATCGCTAAGCTATTATCATTCCGTAGTATAACAGTTACTGTTTTTGTGTAAATATACAGGTTTAACAAAATATAAACAGAGATAAAGTGTTTGACAGGACTCGCCTCCTTAAGAGCTCTATACTTTTGACAATCCCTTTTATATGTGATTTTATTTTTATTTCATTTTTCCAACTTTTTTTTAAAATTAATGGCTGCTGTTCACAAAGCACACTGACTAGATAAGTACAATATTACACACTTTTCCCTATTCCTCCAGACAACCTTCACACATCTTGGTCAGATCGGAGGACTGTACATTTATCTATACACTAGAATGATTACAGGATCTGTACAAACCTGAAGGATCCAGGAGTGGTACAATTATTTTCACGATTTCACGACTGACCTACGAAGAACCACCAACATTTTTTTTATTATTCTCTTCTTTCATCATCATTAGTTTATTTCCATATTACCTTGTGCAATCATAATCATGTTTGGATTACTGAGAATATATCCATAGCAACCTGTCACATCTAGGATGTGCAGTATGTACACTATTCACATGAGTGTGTGGAAGATTGGAAAATTCCTCTCTGAGAGGTATTGAATAGGAAAAATATATGCAGCTCAACTGCTAAATAATCAAGGTCCTGTCCAGGGTTTAGCTCTCAATTCAATACCAGGAGGGTGAAATCGCTTATCTTCTGTAAACATGCATGAAAGAATACTTTATAATGATGTACATTTCTAAATATCGAGTATAAATATCAATTTTCATGAAGGCTAAAACCTGCCATCATCTCATGTACAGCGTTGATACATTACATTTACTACCCAAATCATGATATCATAAGTCATTTAAGACAAACATTTCTCACACACGTATGAGAGCGATAACTCTCGTTCATGAAGCCTTCCATGACAATGTCTGCTGAGTGGAGCTGTGTATACTGCTGAGTTTGGTTCATCTAATACAAACAATGTACCTGTTCACGAAACAAGTATTCAGACAACTGCTTGATCATCTGTATGCCTCATATACTCTATGTAAGTCTAGTTGTCTTTTTTCCAGCCGTGTCCACTGGTGGTGAACACAGGCCTATACGAGCGTCTAACAAAGCCTTCAATATTATTCACTTTAGGTAAAGATATCTATGTTCCGCTCTCCTCACTTACAGGATGTAAAAACTTGTTTGTATCTGTTCCCTAGTATAACCAGGTAAACATGTCCTCATACAAATCCGTACACCTCTACAACTTTACAGGTGAAGTCCTCTCCTGTACACAGCGGTTCGTTGTGGAAGGTGTCACACTTTTCGGTGCGGCAGTGCAGCAGGTTAGCGTCCAGTTGTATAGCTTCCCCGTTTCTGTGAACAAAGTCACATGTTAACAAATAATACACAACACAGTTACTCTATATCTCAATTATCTTTATGACATATACTGCATAACTTGGTTTATCACTGAACATAGCTGTGAAATTTCATCAAATTATTTTAGAAAATACGCCCATGTAAGGAGCAGCTGAATGATGGATTTAAGTAAATTAGAAATGAAAGCTTCTGGGGCACCTGTTACAGTGAACAACGAAACACATTATACTAACACAGAACAAGTCTGTAGCTCTTGTTACACATTTGTTAACATTTTGTTAAAATTAACAAGAGGCCCAATGGGCCTGAATCGCTCACCTGGTATTAATCTCACACTTGTAATCTTAAAAGTGGACTAAAATACAGCTACAGGCAGAATATCAGTGTTTGATTCATAAGAACCTATTAAAAGATTTAAACATATGACGCCTGTGACCTTGAATGTCCAACAAAGGCATCAGGTTGAACAGAGTTTAAAGTCTTCCAACCCAGCATGCTTTTGGCAAAATATCACAACCCTGGACCTATTGGTTATACAGAACAAGTCATTTAAAGATTTAAACACTGTGACCTTGAATATGTGCGAAGGTCATTCATTTTGACAAAATTGGTAGCCCTTCATCCCAGCCTGTTAATGACCAAATATCATCACCCTTGGCCTTTGGCTAATTTAGAAGAAGTCATTTAAAGGTTTTAAAGATAGTTGATCCCTGTGACCTTGAATATATGTAAAGGTAATTCATTTGAACAAACTTGATAGCATTTTATCCAAGCATGCTACTGGCCAAATATCATTATCCTAGGCCTCTTGATTATTCAGAAGAAGTTGTATAAAAGTTTTAAACATATTTGACCCCAGTGACCTTGAATATAAGTAAAGATCATTCATATGAATAAACTTGGTTGCCCTTTATCCCAGCATGCTACTGGCCAAATATCATTATCCTAAGACTTTCGGTTATTGAGAAGAAGTTGTTTAAAGGTTTTAAACATATTTGACCCCTGTGACCTTGAAAATAAGTAAAGGTCATTCATTTGAACAAACTTGGTAGCCCTTCATCCTGGCATGTTACTGGCCAAATATCATTATCCTAGGCTTCTTAGTTATTCAGAAGAAGTTGTTTAAAGATTTGTTAAGACAATTGACCCCTGTGACCTTGAAAATGGACGAAGGTTATTTATTTGAACAAACTTAGTAGCCCTTAATCACAGCATGCTACTGGCCAAATAACGTAACCCTATGCCTCTTAGTTAATCAAAAGAAGTTGTTTAAAGTTGTTTTTTTACATATTTGAACCCTGTGACCTTGAATATAAGTCAAGGTCATTCATTTGAACAAACTAGGTAGCCCTTCATCCCAGCATGCTACTGGTCAATTACCTTAACACTAGGCCTCTTAGTTATTCAGAAGAAGTTGTTTAAAGGTTTTAATATATTTGACCCCTGTGACCTTGAATATAAGTCAAGGTCATTCATTCGAACAAACTTGTTAGCCCTTCATCACAGCATGCTACTGGCCAAATAGCATCATCCTAGGCCTTTTGGTTATTGAGAAGAAGTTGTTTAAAGGTTTTGAACATATTTGACCCCTGTGACCTTGAATATAAGTAAAGGTCATTCATTCGAACAAATTTGGTATACCTTCATCCCAGCATGCTACTGACCAAATATCATTATCCTAAGCCTCTTGATTATTCAGAAAAGTTGTATAGAGATTTTTTTAAGACAATTGACCCCTGTGACCTTGAAAATGGACAAAGGTTATTCATTTGAACAAACTTGGTAGCCCTTCATCCCAGCATGCTACTAGTCAAAAATCATCACTCTGGACATTTTGGTTATTCAGAAGAATTTGTTTAAAGTTTTTAACATATATGACCCCTGTGACCTTGAAAATAGGTGAAGGTCATTTATTTGAACAAACTTGGTAGCCCTTCATCCTACTTTGCTTCTGGCCAAATTTCATCACCCTAGGCCTTTTAGTTATTAAGAAGAAGTTGTTTTAAGTAAAATATTGACACCGGACAACGGATGACAGACGACGGACGGACGGACGACAGACGCTGCACCATCGCATAAGCTCACTTGGCCCTTCGGGCCAGGTGAGCTTATAGAAACGAACAGCTTTCCCTCTACAAAGGATCACATTAGACAATCAGTGTTTCAGCGGTTACACACAAGCCTCCGACGTACACGCCTACTTACCCGCCCCCAATTGTCAACATAGAGTTATCCCCTGCCAGAAACATATTGGCAGTGTTTGGAATGTCCTCCTGCTGGAGACCCACCCACGAGTACTTCTGTTTCTTTGGGTTAAGTGTGAAGATAAATGTCTCTCCTGTTCCGAAGTACGATAGGTTTTTCGTACGATGCTTTCTGTCTCGCCAGTATGTGGAACAAAATGCTCCAAACACCTGCAAAGGGAAATAACTATTTATTAAAATTTTCACAGGAATTTGTTTGACAGCATACGTAGTGGTTAGTGAAATATCAACTGTGAATAAAATACGTCAATTAGAATTTTTAAGAAAGTGATTTCCTGACAAGAATCTAAGGCCTGTATTCATGAAACCGTTTTCATGCTAAAGCATGGACCATCTGTGCTCAAACTGACTTCCTTGTAAATCACTTAGTTGTACTGAACGTCACTGGAAAGTAGTGACTAGCTATTTAAGTGCTGTATAACATTGAATCACATATAGTGCTTCAGGTAAACATGATATAGTTTCCTGTCTATTATTTCAGCAGTTTGTAACCACAAACATGAGTTCCAGAACTTTACCTCGTCGTTTGTCGTTTTGATGACGATGAGAGTCGGTTGGTGGTCTTCCACACGAGTGTACAGTGTCATCAGACTCGTCCCGTGCTCCTCTGACGTATACAGCAGCTCGGGCTGACAGACGGCAAAACGGGGCGGCAGCCACGACCAAACAGTGTACAGCTGTGGAAACACAGATTACAATTATGATGTTTTCTAATAACACAACATTGTGCTGGTGATCATGCATAAAGTATCACTGACACAGTAAACCGTTGACATGGCGTGATCATACATAAAGTATCACTGACACAGTAAACCGTCGACGTGGCGTGATCATACATAAAGTATCACTGACACAGTAAACCGTCGATGTGGCGTGATCATACATAAAGTATAACTGACACAGTAAAAATGTTGACGTGGCGTGATCATACATAAAGTATCACTGACACAGTAAACCGTCGACGTGGCGTGATCATAAATAAAGTATAACTGACACAGTAAACCATTGACGTGGCGTGATCATACATAAAGTATCACTGACACAGTAAACCATTGACGTGGCGTGATCATACATTAAGTAGCACTGACACAGTTAACCGTCGACATGGCGTGATCATACATAAAGTATCACTGACACAGTAAACCGTCAACGTGGCGTGATCATACATAAAGTATAACTGACACAGTAAACCAAGGGGAACCACATCCACACACTGTTGTTAATAATAAAAGTGATCAGCAGATACAGGATACAACTGACACAAGTTAACACTGACAGTGAACTGATAGTTCAATGTACTACTGGGGGAGAATACAACCATATATCACTGGGGGAGAATTCAACCATATACCACTGGGGGAGAATACAATCATATACCACTGGGGGAGAATACAATCATATACCACTGCGGGAGAATACAATCATATACCACTGGGGGAGAATACATCCATATACCACTGGGGGAGAATACAACCATATACCACTGGGGGAGAATACAACCATATAACACTGGGGGAGAACACAA